GGCACGCCACAGAATATGCAGAGTATCTATCTAAGCAGTTTTCGCCTTTTTTCTATCTTATACAGGGTGCGAGCTGACAGTGCCCTAAAAAGTGAAATTTTTCGTTTTCACCCTGTATTTCAGTGGCAAAACGAGATACCTTAAGGTTGATTCTCACTATACATTCCGTTTCCATTCCCTAACCGTTCCGTAAATTATTGAAATTAAATATTCGCCTTCGCTTAAAGTAGGCTATTGCGTGTGTATGCACATTATCCGTAAGGTATATTGTGTATACAATCAACTTGTACTGAACGTTTACGAAACTGATATGGAATGGAAACGGAATGTATAGTGAGAATTAACCTTTAATTCTGTTTGTAGCATTATTAGTTTAAACAGTTTTCTGCAGCAAGAATTAGTGAGATCCTAGTCAATACTTGCCGTTGCTAGATGGCGCGGTAGAATTTACTGACGGTTCCATACTAAATATGAATTGCAATGATTATTATACATAAGCCTCAAAGGCTGAAAGGCAAAGAAATTTCTAGTAGATGATTGCCTTTGTTGTTTCAGTTTTATTTTGTATTTCTGTGTGTAAGCTTTTATTTAAGGCGACATCTTGTGGTCAATTCTTAAACTATAATTTACTGGGTTATATAGGGACTTTCGCCATTCTTAGTATGGACGTTGGCAAACTGATGTGAATGTCAGTTCAATTTGATTTTGGGTAGTTACAAGAAAAAACAGCTACTGTCACAAAGCGCAATTTTGTAGCATTTATACTGTCGATTGTACCTGTACAACTTCAAATTCTATTATATATATAATATATATTCTAGGGTGAGAAATTTTTTATTTGTAGCTGCGAATATACGTTTTAATTGGACATCTTTAGGCAAAAAATGGAGAAGGCTGAAAATTGGCAAAGCAAATACTGTAGAGTTTGAAACAACGTCCTCAGCGGACTACTATTGGACTGTGCTCGCTTTTGGAGCAGCAGATGTTCGTGGATGTAGCCATTTGCTGCGAAAAGGGTTTACACGTTCATAAAGTGGTTCTGGCTGCCAACAGTCCTTGTTTAAGGTGAGTAGATATTTTCACAAATACACATGATCATGACTGATGTATTTTTATAGGAAGAACTGGAAAAATTCATCTGTCGAGCATGTGGTGATCACAGGATGTGTTATACTGTGGTGAAATCCTTAGTGGAGTTCATGTACTGTGGATCAACTACTATAGCAGATGAACATCTCAAATATTTTGTTGCGGCAGCCAGGACATTACAAATGAAACATTGGAAAATCTGACATTTGACTTCCCCTTACCTGGTAATTTATTTCATTAAGACATTCCAATTTTATTTTGTCTTATACAGCGTACATGAATAGTTTATTTCTCGGATGCAATTAGAATAACGCAAAAAGTCACAAGTCTTATGAAAAATTTCATATAGGGATCTCCTACGAAAATACAGACTCGCAAATTAAGACACTGGAGACTGTTTTTTTTATTTCACGTGCTCATTTATGTCGCAAGGGAAAGACTACCGCAATATTGCTTATTTTTTAACACTCAATAGTAATGACTCAAGAGCGAATTTCTTGAAAAATGTATCCCTGATGGACGCTTTTAAGATGAGTAGTTGCTTGGAGCTATTTATAAAAAATTGGAAACATTCTGAGGAAGCGGAAGTATCGGCGACATCAAAGAGTTTTTTGACTGCTACCAAAAACTTTTTTCAAAAATATAGCAGCGTTATCTACTATGACCAACATATTCCTCCTCAAATTTCATTCAAATTGATTTAGATGACGCAACGAATTCTAATACATTAGAAGGAGTCAAGCCTATATGTTTGTCGCCAAAATTAGGTACGTAGTTTTCGTGCATACTTTTGACTCACTTGACTACCAATGCCTCACAAAGTGACCGCATTGTACTAACACAATAATAATACTTACCGGTGGAAATATCTACCTTCAGCAGGCTGGTGCTGCTCTTTGCAAATTATCTAGGAATAAGTACCAAGTAACAGCAAAATATGAATTTAACGACAGAGATGTCAAAAAATTTACTTACGTCAAGTGCACTTGTAGTATACATACTACAGATTATGAAAATTAGTAGACAAAAAATCCTTGACTGGCTCCTTCGGCCTAGTCCGAATTCGGATGCAACATGCAGTGGAAAGATAGACCAAAATGAGCGATATAGATTTTCGTTCACATATTATATACATTACAAAATGATAAATATGATATTCAGGTTCTTGTAAGAGAACGTAAAGCTACTACTAAGCACTATACCAAGCGCGGATCCAGAGAGTGATGACTCCCTCTAGGGCAAATCTGACTACTTATACTTTTGAATCTGTTTAGTAAATTTAATATGCAAATATGTAAAGGATACAAACGGTTAAAAATTACCAGATTTTGGTGAAAAATCACCACACCTGGTAACCCTGATCAATTTGTAAGCACATCGATGCTTGCCTGGAAATAAGAGTGTGCGTAAGTCTGGTTGCCTATACGTTCTGCTCGACGCAAATATGAATAAAATACCGTTTCTGCATGTTTCGGCTTGGTTTTTTATGTCCGTTAGTGCACCATAGCCTTATTTGTTCTGTGAATAAGGTAATTAATCGAAAATTTAGACATTCGGACAGGAATATAAGAAAAATCCTTTTCGCGCGCGCCTTTGACGCTGTGAGCAAACTTGATAAAAACACATTTTGATGGACAAAATCAGAGAAAAGCAGTCTCATCTGATTGATTGAAAGGAGATGATAAGAAGTAAGCAACAAGTTATCTAACTGTAAGAATGATCAAATCTCGCACTCTTCATCTATCAGCTCATAAGCTTATGCATTACTTCCTACTTTTGACTGAATTTATTTGTTTCTCAGTATGATAATATTGTCTTAGTTTTATCATTAACATGGCGTTTCCCAAATATGGGGCAAGTATTTAATGTGTGACCCTTGGGTCTATTCTGAAACTATTATATTTGATCCTCTCGATTTGCGAAACACTTCTTGATTCCGGAAAAATAGGACAATAAAGGAAACGTCGTTGGAAATATGTTTTTCTTATATATATATGACTTTGAAGTTGAGTCATTAATTTTCAGATAATGATTGTAGAAGGAAGATAAACCAAATATGTGTGTAAAAATAAAAAAAAATTAAAAAAATGTTTTACCTTGTTTTATAAAGTATCCTCTCGACAAGTATTTCAGTGCGGACCTGTATTTGATCGTGAGGTCCCCTGTGAGGTCTTAAGTCACCTGATTCACGAGCCCGTTGTACTAGATTAACAAAGGCACGAGGGGTTGGTTGCACTCGATTGGGAAACCGATCCGCATAAGCATGTGCCATTTTTTATTTCGTTTGAGCCACGCAACAGACACGACTATTCACTCATGCGTTACCGACTGGCACTGACTGTATGTATACAACTGAATAAAATAATTGTAAAAACATCGTTCCAAATTCTTTCGCTTTTTTGTTTCCGATGCGATGAACCGATAAGGCGGATTATATCCGTTGTTGCCAAACACGAGCACATGATATTATTATTGAGACAGGGCGGTACTCAAACTTCCAAAGGGCTATAACTTTGTTACTTTAATTTTACCAGAAAAATGGTGAAGGAAAAAAACATTTCTTTTGATCAGTGATCACTGTTAAAATAAATGACTCAACTTCGAAGTCACCCTGTATATATATATATATATAGGGTAAGATTGCCCATATTGAACCACTTTTCCTTTAAATAATAAATCCAGTTGATCTAGAGTATACTTTGGATATTTGAGAGAACACATAGGTATGTATAAATACTATTTAAAATAATGAACTACTTATATGACTAATTAAAAACAAAACAATTGCAAATGGTTCATTTTGGGAAACGTGTTGCCCATATTGAACCCCAGGTATCCTAAATTGAACCTACACATTATTTACAAAGATTAAGCAGTAGCAACAAAATAAAAAATAACTTCATGCTAAATAAACAAAACCTTTATTTTTATAAAAACATCATACACGAAAGTATCATAGAATAATGTAACGAAAACGGTAATTTAATTTTTTTGCTCTTAAAGCCAAATTCGACTTTTGAATGATTTCCTATATTCTACTATTCCAATAGGATTGCAAAACTACCCAATACAAGAAGTACAAAAAAATATTTTCGTTCTGGCACCTACACCTACACAATGGCAGTGGAACCATGCTTTGAACCATATGCATTGGATCATATCACTGTATTCTGCCGTTTCACATTCTGTACAAAACCACTTTTGCGAATCCTTCTTGATTTCATTTAAGCCCTTCAAAGGTACTTTTCTCTTCAAAGGTACTTTTGTCTTCTTACGTCTCTGCTTTTCTATGCTGTCATTAAGATAGTCCTTATAAAGGCGGCTTGTAATTTCAACCGCCTTTTGAATACCTCTACTTTTTTTATTTGACTCAACCTTCTTTGGTTTCGGCAAAGGAGCGACTTCATCCAAACTAGCGACAGACAGATGTTGATGTGCTTAGTAACTTATCTAACGCCATTTCTGTATTATCCACTACAGATGTAGAGCAGGCACTTGGTACAACCTGTTGAATTTTTAGTATGGATAGAGGGATGTCGCCATCAGCACTACTTTCCTAATTTCCAAGTCTAGAAGCTTCACTTGTCGGATTTACACTAGGTCTAAGCACTTCAGATGCTACGAAATGGGAGTAATTGAACACATGCCTATTAACAGGCCAAACACCAGATGATCTAAGCGCATTTATTGCAGTCTCAATGGTCGCTGCTTTTCCATATGCTGCATTTAGTAGCTCTGCCACTTGATATTGCGTAACTGCGCGTTCAGGATTACTCCTGAACCATCTCTCTGAAGCTTGTGTATAGTTTGTCTCCAATGGTTTAAAAAAAGCCTTATCTAAAGGTTGTAAACGGTGCGTCGTATGTCCAGGCAATTGCAGCAAAACCACTCCATTCTCCCTTGCTAAAAGAAGAGCTGCAAGGTTTTTACAATGAGTCGTGTGACCATCCAAAATAAGTAACACTTTATTTTCTTTTGTAGGACGAACACTGTCCATAAAATGTTGCAACCACTTGACAAAGAGTTCGCTAGTGATGTATCCAGAATCAGATATCTCGATTTTACTGCCAAGTGGAGCGCCATTGCTCAATTCTGCAGTATACCCTTTCCTTTTAAAAATAATAAGTGGGGGTACGTAAAACCCAGCTAGCTGCACTTACACAACAAACTATGGTTGTGTTGACGCCCCACTCCCCACTAGCGATTGATCTGACAGGTTTTGAACCTTTCCTTGCCACAATTTTCTGACATTTCTTAGCTACAGTCGAGAAACAAGACTCGTCCACATTAAAGATGGTGGTAGCATTGATTTTGTATTTACCATATATTCCTTAGAGTAAATCAAAAAAATGCATAACATTTTCCCTGTTAAATCCTTTTATCCTATTAATTGAAGTAGACTCAGGCTGACGCAGCGATAATTGTGGGTGCCTCTTCATAAAACGGTAGTACCATTTCTTTCCTGCTATTCTGACCTCTCTATTGAACTGGTGAGGAAGCCCATTTTTTTCAGCTAAATCGAATGCAAGTTTTCTGATATCACGAATTGTCAATCCGAACAAGCAGTTTGCAAACTGTGTTATGCGCTCACAAAGTAGTGTAGATTTGGAAATACCATAATCTCGGCTGCATTCGTTTACTACTTTTTCACCATTATTGTATGCTGTTAAAACTTTTTCCATATCATCTGCTGACCATGTTCCATAATTTCCACGTTTTGCCATCTAAAAATAAATAATAAGTAAGTATTTCACGCAAATACCAGAAATCTATCCACTACAGCAGTCTAAAACACAATAAGCAATTTGGAGGACGTATAGTTGCCTAAATTGAACCCCAGTTCGATTTTGGACACTGTTAATGGTTCAATACTGGCAGCCAGCATAACATTTAAAACATAACCTCAAACTAAAAATTAAAATGGTTGTAAAATATGTCAATTACTCTAAAAGATACCTTAATTGACATGTTATTTACTACTATTATCAAAGTTGCTCTCACCTTGCTTGGAAGTTTTCGGTTACCTTAGGGAAGGGTACCAGAAATTACTTTCGAGTGACAGTTAAACATGTTAGCACAGCACTGCCACCTGTTCCCATAAAATCAAGGATCTTTCTCGCGGAACAATCTTAACTATGGATGGTGATTTAATATTCGATTCTTATATTGCGCTAGCTTTATACAGATTAGAAAAATCGCATGGGTTCAATTTAGGAGCAGGTTCAATATGGGCAACCTTACCCTATATACAGGGTTATCCAAATTAAGTGTCCACCATTAGTAACTTTGTTATTAGTGAAAATACAAAGTTGTTTGAATTAGCAAACTAGTAGCATTTTTAACGCTGGTAAAAATGAGAAATAAAAAAAAACAATTGAGAGTCGTTATTTTTTTTTTCAGTAAAATAACATTTTTTTAAATGGAAACCCCTGTATATTATATTTTTTTCTGTTAAAGCATCAAATTTTAAACAAAAAAGCTTACAATAACTTTTCTCCTAGGTTACAAATTGTTGAAGTTATGGCCTCCAATCTGAAACAATTAAATTGTATCGACAAACTTTATTTTCAACATCAACTTATAATCTTACAAAATACAATAACAATTTTTTTTAAAGAAGATGCTCGAAAACACCACCTTGTTCTTCAATACATTTTTGGGCACGTTTTTCAACTGCTCGAACTGTCTTAAGTATGGTCCTACCATCTATCTGGGTTATCTTTTCCCTAACTGCAGTCTTTAACGCGTCAAGGTTATCGTACCTTCGCTTGTAAATTTGGTTCTTTAAGTAACCCCACAAGAAGTAATCAAGTGGGTTTAGATCTGGTGATCTGGGAGGCCACTGTATTGGGCCATTTGTTCCTATCCACTGATCATTAAAAGTAGTACTTAGAAAATGATAAGTACCTCTGGAGTTGTGGGCAGTGCGCCATCTTGCTGAAAATGCAGATGATGTCTACTTATAAGATCCAATTCGTCTAAGAAATTAGTCAGAATTTCTGACATAAATTCCACATATCTTTCACCAGTTAGGGTTCCCTCATAAAAGAACGGGCCAACAATTTTTGAACCAATTATACCGCACCAAACGTTGAAACTGAAACGGACTTGTGGGCCTCTTGGATGTACTAACAAAAGATTTTCTCTTGACCAATAATGGTGGTTTTTTCTATTAAACATTCCAGAATTTGAAAAATTTGATTCATCTGTCCATAAAAGGTAACGAAAGTTATTTACATTTTGGCGACAGAAGCTAAGATACCAATGGCAAAAAACAAGTCTTCTCTCTGGATCCCCTGCCAAAAGCGTTTGAACTGGTCGGTACTTATACGGAATAAATTTGTATTTTTTTAAAATCCTTTGAACAGTACCATAACTGAAATTAGAGTCCTTGAGAATATCTGCTATTGAATTCTCACGATAAGCTTCAAAATATCCAATAACTGCAATTTCCGTGGCCTCGCTTATTATGAATTCTTTTTTTGCCCTTGTTTTAGCAAAAACATTTTCGTTGCCCCTAAATTTTCGATAAAGTCTCAGAAAATATCGTTCATACGGTTGAATGCGAGCGGGATATAATTCACTGTAGTATTCTCTTGCTCTCAAGGAGGATTTTCTGCACACTAAATAGCATTCTAACATATCACACTTTTCTTCATGGGAGAACATTTTTCTTTAAATTAATGACACAATAAAGCTTATAAACAAGTATTTACACTAATGTTTGACATTATTTGATTTTATCATTGTTTTCCAAAGCCTTCTAGTTGCGAGTATGTCCAGTTTAACAATTTGTCGCTTATCTTAATGCTGTCAAATCGCGAACGCCATGTTGTTTTCATAGCCGTCTTAATATTATAATACTGCAAATAATTAAAAATATTTATCGTTATTTTGACTTTATTTTGACTTTAGCGGAAAAGTCATTATGAACTTTTTTGTTTAAAATTTGATGCTTTAACAGAAAAAATATAATACAGGGTTTCCATTTAAAAAAATGTTATTTTACTGAAAAAAATCAAAATAACGACTCTCAATTGTTTTTTTTTATTTCTCATTTTTACCAGCGTTAAAAATGCTACTAGTTTGCTAATTCAAACAACTTTGTATTTTCACTAATAACAAAGTTACTAATGGTGGACACTTAATTTGGATAACCCTGTATATATATATATATATATCGCCGCTTAAGTTTTAACATCGAGTAACTCAAAAAATGGCGATATCATGCGTGTCATGTCAAATTTTGGTCTTTTAAAAACTTGTCAGTTTTGAGCTACGCTGTGTGAGAACATAAGTGACGATCCAACTAAAACTATTAACTCATTTAGTTCGCCAGAGACGGACTAGCCATAAACGCAATATATTGCTAATTTTTTTACACCTTTGTATAATAATGCCTACAAAATAGTAATTTTGGAAATTATAACCTACTGTTCCATCTACATCATTGTAATACTACCTGCGGTTGTTTCAAGAATTTGAATTCATATCCCCCGTTTTGTTTAATATTCGTGGTTTTCAGGTCGCTGATGACGGATCAATTATCAAATTTTCAATACGAGTGAACCAGTAACGGTTCCATAATTTAGAAAACTGTACCAAAAGTAATAAGGCTGTTGTACTTCAAAACCCCAGAAGGGCTCAGTGAATAAGACACACCCCTTCCCCTCCGGAGATAAAAATTCTCCTGAACATGAATCCTGTGACCCCCTGACATAAATTCTGGTCCCTTGCGCTATATAAACCAATTTCCTGTCAGCCATTCTTTCTTATAAGTCGATTATCGTCCTTCAAATGTCGCCTTTTACGTTTGCTTTTTCTTTTTCAGCCGAGAAGATAGTGATTCCCAAGCCCCAGTTTCTCTCCAAAAAGCCCGAATACCCTGCGCCAGCTTCGTCCAGCAATCTGTACAATCCCTACAAAGACAATAGAAAGCTCCTTATAGAAGCTGAACACCGGGCATGTGTTAAGGAAGCCGAGGCTAGTAGATCGGCTATTGCTAACCTGACAAAAGAGATGGTATCTGCCCAACATGCTAATTCTTTCATCATTGAAGAAACTTGCTCAGAGACCACAGTTGAGAATTTCATCCCGCATCCTACAGTAGGATTTGGTGCTGGTCAAGTGTTTTTGCCCACTGACCCAAAAGTGTCCAACAATGTCATTCAGTCGACCATACCCAGTAGCTCTGAAGAACTTACTGCTGATCTATTGGGAAATGAAGCCCACTCTAGTGTGAAGATACTGTTCAAGACCAGTGATGGAAGCTTTCGTCACTGTTAGTGACGAAGTTCTCCAGAATCTTCAGAAGGATGATATGCAATATCAAGTGATAGACGAAGTTGAAAAATTAGGCGACGTTCAGGATTTGCAACTGACAAAGGATATGACCAATGCGGCAGCTGGAGATATACCACTTTTTCCGGAAACTTTTGATCTATTCGGCAATGCTCAAACAGACTCGGCAATATCACCAATGAACCACGTGAAGTAGTGGATAACGCTGGTGCTTTGATCGACCCGGAAAACGTAGGGATACCTTCACTGGACACTGAAGGGTTGAATGAGAGCTATCCAGTCGAAAAGCATAAACGAAGCATGCCTAGTTTGGACTTTTCTCCTGATATGTTTTTCGCTGACTGATAACAAGAGGATTTGTTTGGAAGAGGACACCTCGAAGCAGTGACATGTTGTTTGGTTTTTAGTTTTTTGCAGGGATAATTTGTAGTCATTATTATATTTTGAATACTTACGCTGAGAAGCAGCCAGATCATTGCAAGGTTGAAATGCAAATGATGGATAATAAAGGAAGCATTCCTTCTACCGCCATTACTGATCAGATGGAAGATACAAGTTTGGACTTTTCTCCTGATATGTTTTTTGCTGACTGATAACAAGAGGATTTGTTTGGAAGAGGATACCTCGAAGCAGTGACATGTTGTTTGGTTTTTAGTTTTTTGCAGGGATAAATTGTGTTCATTATTTGTTTCAATAAAAACAATTTCATGATTACAGTTATTGTGTTTCGGACTCCTTTGCCCGACCCTTTTCAAGTACAATGACAATTAATTCAGGAGTTACCTTAGTAGTTTCCTTTCGAATTAGATCAGTCAAATCATTGTGGAAATTACATACGCAAATTTGCTGAATTTCAAAAATGAGAAAGAAAAGAAAAGAAAATCCCTGGTTGGTGAAGTAACAGGTGAGAAAATATGCTACAGACAGTAATATTTATGAAAGTGAAAGGGTTATTTACTACATTATTTTTTATTTCCAGTTCAGTCTAGAAATTTATTTTGCGATGTCAATAGAAAATACAAATCATCGTCTAGATGTGAGACACTGCGCAAATGTTTGAAGTATGATGCGTCATTCCTAATTTTACTGTGATGTGGCTTAATTGCACACAACGCGGGCGCAGTGGCGATTTCCCATAATCAAAGTTTTTGATAACACAAAAAAAAAACGGGAGCTATCGTAATTTATAACTTTGAATATAACCCGTACACACAAAGGACAACATATAAATAACTCGTCGGGCACAGCTAATAATACTCCATGTAGACCAATACACAAAATCATCCAGATGTGATCTTGCTACTCAACCAACTTTCATTCTTTCACATCCTCTCAGACTACAGACTACTCGGATTTACAAAACATACGAGTATACTAGCTTTCTGCAACCAACAATGCGCGTAGCTGAGTAATTCCTCCATAGATCAACGCTTACAAAACTACCTAGTCTGCAAGATGACATTTCGATGTTTTTTTGACATTTTATAGGGTTTTTACATAATAGCCGTGGTGTAGGACGAACTATGTAAGGAATAAATCGTCATCTTCATGAACTTCTTGGGTTCAAGCCAAACAGATGGCGTCAAATAGGTTAACTCTCCACTTCCCACGCAACGCCCTTATCAGTACGTAGAGGAATATGTTCAGCACAAACTAGACTTTCTGAGGAAAAAGTGAGTCAAGCAGGTCTATACAATTAGTCCATACATATTTTTAACTGAGCGATTTTAATCGATTTCGTTTTAGGCCTCTTTCTTCGGCCCCACTGAACGGATTCTGAAGGTAACTACAAAGCTTTTGCATAGTAGTGAGATTGTGTAATTGCATCGAAATCCGAGCGGCATTTCTCAAGTTATAGGCGGTTATAAGATTAGAGGACAGACCGACATGGTTTTTCATTACGTGTATGTCATATAACATCCAAAAAACCATATTTTCGAAATTTTGCGCGATTACAATACAACCTTACCAGTAGGCGTGGGATGTAAAAAGCTCTTCGAGATAAAAAGTTAAATTGTCCCAGGACTTTTATGAGCCAACTATGTCTATCGATTTTAAAACACTAAAATTGCCTTGAGTATGGATGTTATTGTTAATAAATTTTGTGAAAAAAACAGTGTCAAGTAAACTGAAATGGTACTTTCTACGCTTACACATGGCCTATTTTCGAATATTCCGTACCTGCAGACTGAAAATTAAAAATTATTTTTATATGTACGTCAAACATGAGCCTTGCTAAAAATTAGTTTTTGTAGGACCCAGGGTCGTAGCAACCGCCATATCAGCCGCATCAATGCCCCAGGGGCCCCGGATTACAGGGGCTCGACTGTGTAAGAAGAAATTCGTAAAGTCTCATTCACCACCTCATACATTTTTTAAGTGGCACGCCATACTATAAATTATCAATAACTGAAGCCTTAGATCAGGGTTTCCCAACCTTTTTTTGTTGAAGCTCCCCAGACTATAAATTATATTTTCATGCCCTCCATTACCTTTTCAATAAATACAAAAAAAATGCAGATTATATAGATACAAAGACTTTTATTTTAATTCTAATAAAGAAACTTTAAAAGTTTAAATAAACTAATAAATGTTTTTTATCGAAAAACTTGAATAAAATGGTAGATTCTAGGTTCTGTTTTTGCAGAGCTATCATCAGGTCGCTATCGATATCAAGACGATTTCGCTGTTTAGCTTTAGTTGCAACTAGAGCAGAAAAGCCTGTCTCACATAAGTGAATTGAAGAAAAGGCAACTAGTATTCGTAAAACAAGAGAGGCAAGTGTCGAATTAACAGGCAATCTTTTGATCCAAATTTTCTCCAATGTTAAAATGGAAGTCATCTTTCATGGACGAATCAACGTTCATTTCTAGAAATTCTTCCTGAACTTCTTCTGGTAATTGTGACTCTGAATTTATCTCTCGATACTATCGGTGAAACTCGTCTTTCAGCGCTTGCAAATGAGTTTTTATGTAAGCTTGTAAATTTTCGTCCAGTATGTTATTTTTAATTGCCTAGAACAGCCGAGAAAAAGATATAACATTTTCAGAAGACAATTTTTGATTTCAAAGTTCAAGCTTTGAATATAATCATAATTGCTTATTATAGTGTTGTTTCTGCCTTGAAGTTTCAAGTTTAGCTCATTCAAGGAGTCAAATATGTCAGTTAAATAAGCCAACCTCCATTGAAATGTGTCATCTTTGAACACTGTCAAAAAAACGTGTTTTTCTTTGAACTCACGAAAAAGAATCACCATTTCTTTCAATTCATAAATGCGAGCCAACATGTTGCATTTGGACAGCCATACTTGTGTATGGAACAGAAGAGCTTTGTGATCAGAATCGAGATCGTCGCAATGTCAAATAAATAACCGACTGTTAAAAGCGCTGCTCTTAATGTAGTTCACAATCCTTATCGCCGAGTCCAAAATCTGGCGTAATTTCTGTGGCCATGTTTTAGGAGCCAAAGCTTGCCGATGAATAACACAATGTGTACTAAGCATTGCGGGATTTTTTTCCTTGAGCTTTTTAGCTAAGCCCAATGGTACACCTATTATTGCAGCTACGCCATCTGTGCAAAGTCCAATGAGTTTATTCCAATCCAAATCATTTTTTTCAACAAAATTTGATATTGAATTAAATATATCTTCAGATATAGTACCTGCTGTACAAAAACCTCTTCTTGAATGATATCTCCGCCGATGTAATGAACATAAACTATTATCTGTGTACAATTAACGATGTCCGCTGGATAATCGCAACTAATTGGCAATAATTTTACTTTGTTAATTATTGTGACTTTATGTCTGCTGCAATGTCATCGATTCTACGCTTGACTGTGTTATTCAAAAGAGAAATAGACTTCATTTTTTGCTCTGCATCTTCTCCTAAAATTATCTACGTGGCTTTTAGGACAAATGGTTTTTATTAATTCTTCACCGATAGCATGAGGTTTCTTTTGCTTGGCTATCATAAAAGCTATTTCAAATGAAGCTTTGAGATGCTGCGATACACCCATGTGATAGCTTCCGACTTATCCAGTCTCATCCGCTTGAGTGATTCTGCTTTAGAAGAAAAAAACTCTTTCGTCTTCAAAACCAGAGTAGGATGTTGTTGCTTCAAATGCCTTTCAAGGCGATTGGGTCTCATGCTATTATTACTTAAACTTTCATACATACACTTTGTGCTGTTATGCAAAATGCAAAGAAATGATGTAGACTGTAGTGATCTGCGGGTTAAAGGCTATTTAAAATCTTGTCATACTAAATTTTAATTTTTTTGATATACTTTTTTGCTTAAAAGGATACATTTCTATATTTTTTTCACTGTATTTTTATTTTTGTTTGTTTGCTACAAGCCTTCAAAAAAATCACTAGAAATATAACAATTAACAAAAGTTTTAACTAAATCACGAGATCTAGTGAAATTGCACTAGACTTGGCAACATTGAATGCAATGAAGATTGGAAAACTGGCGATTTTTCAGCTCAGCGGACAATTTTGCTATATCTGCTATTTTGCTAGAATGTCATATAAAAAAGAGGCGTTGAATTTAACATTGAGCGATTCCAATGGAGATAAATATAAAATTGAGGAGGCGTAGTAATGTTAATGTCTCTGAACGCTTTATAATGCTCAATTTTATAGGATAAAATATTTTTTAATACGGGAAAAAACTATTTTTTTATTATATAAATATATTTATTAAGTACTTGATCTAAAATTATATGATCATTAATACTACTATTTAGTAGGGGAATATGGGATTTTAGTGACTGAATTCGCACTTGGGCGAGGAAAACCTCAACCGTCACTGCTAAGATTAATTGCATCAGCTGAAGACAAATCAAGTCGTCCCATAATTCTGGCTTCAGTTGTACAATCGAAATAGCCAGCATGCCCACAGTTATTAACCTAAAAAATAGCATTGAATGTAAACAGTTTATCCGAGGGTCATTTTTTAGTAAGACCCGTTTGTAATCCAGTCAGAGAAATTTTATTTATGAATGTAAGTTGTATCAACAAACATAAATATGACATTTTTTAATTTTTCAACAGAGCCACCATAAACATTCAAACACAAGTCAATCCGTTGCACCTTTTGTGTTAATGTAGCTTCTGAAACTTATCGTGCTGTTTCCATGACGGCTATTTCCCTCGTCTTAATCCCTACCAATCACAAAAGCGGAATTTGAATTACAAATGGTTTCTAGATGGAAAATTGTATGACTACCTGCATTATTTTCAGTTTACCCGCGGCAAGTCTTGTCAGCTGTTGTCACCAAAAATTACAATACCTCTGATAATAAGTAATTATGACCTCCTAGGCTAGGGTAAAGTTTTTAATACTGTTTTTTAACATTGCTAGTCAGCTTATGTAGTGAAAATGAGTCGCTTTGGAAATGATTCTTTGACTAATATTGATCTGGCGATTGAGATATACCTCAGTATATGACTTTCGACAACTGTCGGCGCAGCAGAATTTCTACGCGTTCACATCTCCGTGCAGAGCTCTATTCGGTTTAGTTACTTCTTTTCAGTAGTGGTGTTCAGTATAGGGTTCTCGATTGTGTCTCAGTGGTGCCTTGGTGTTGTGACGTGGGTGTTAAGTGTCTCCAAAGTGGAAATTAGGTCTACTTCCAACTCGTCTGAGGGAAACAGGATATCTGTGCAGGAAAATATAGGTGAGCCTTGCATACTCATCTACTTGTGGGTTAGGGTTGACATCCTATGTTTTTAAATAAATAATAAATTGCGCACATTGCATACACTGAGAAGTTAGTCATATACTAAGGTATTTGGGAAAAACCAAAATTTGGCCAGATCGTTTTTATTTTGTCTGACTTTTATTTTAAGAAATGTCAAAAAAACTAATGGCACTACATGATGGTGTTTTTAAAAAGTGCTACACTGTATCTAATAACAGCTTTTTCTAGGACTTCAACGATGTATCACGTAACATTTGTTTTTTAGTTCTAAAACAAAGGGGTTTTTTTCTACTTTTTCATTATAATTAAGTAGGCGTTGCAAACAAATGCTTGATGTAAGATTGTGTGATTACTGAGTTTAACCTAGTCTGATCCTTATCTTGACCACCCCTAATCGAACATACTTGTAAGTATTCTTATGTACTTACATTCATTTCTGAAAAATCTCAAAACTATTAGCAAGGTCCAAGGAATTGGTGATAGATAGCAGAGGTAGCAAAATCGTCCGATGAGCTGGCAACGCCGCAATCCAGGTGACAAGATTAACTTTCAACGTATGTCTATCCCGGGGTAATGACGGAGTCATTTAGAACGTAAATGCGGCAGTTTTTCAATCTTCATTTGGCCTATTTTTAAGTATTGTGCAACGATTTCGAGAAAAATTATGTAGGGATAGTCTAGTAGAGTATATTTCAATAGTTGTCTTGCGTGGCCAAGTTATTTTTACTCGGACCAACCTACCTTCCAAACATCCAGACACAAATAAAGAGGTTAACTAAAAATTACAGCAATTAACCGTCATACTTGTCAAAGTTGCCATTTTTTCTGGATCAAAACAGTATTGTCAGGTTGTTTCGGCAACACCGCACTGTTTCCCATTCTCCCATATGTGTTGACTCCCATGGAGTATAATTTCGACAAAACACCTGGTTTAGTTTTTATCCGCAACCTACCTCAGTTTGTGCACAATCTGGCAACCATGTTGCATCCAGAAAAAAATGGGTGCTTGCCAGTGACATAAGTCAATCGTGTTCAGACTGTTCAGTGTATTATGTTTTGTGCTTGCCAATCCGTCATACGTCAACGACCAACGACAATTGTGAACGTCAACTAACTGGGATATTTACATCTACATTCCATGATGGCAATATTTGTGAAATTTTCGTAAAGGTGATAAACTAATATATTTTTGAAATGATAATGTCCTCGGCAAACATGTCTCAAAATAATTCATACTCAAACGATCGTGGTTTTTGATGCAGATTATGTAGTAGATCCAGCATCTGGAGGCTTCTTTCATGCAGACTTCAAAAGGTGAATTGTCAGCAGATTTTTGCTGTATGTTTTTCAATAAATTTTCTGTTTTAGGCACGATGATCTCAAGGAAATGCTGGACTCAAATAAAGATAACTTAAAGCTAGAAGCTATGAAAAGAATCATAGGGGTAAATACATCAATTCCAATAAATTGTAAGTGCTATTTAATAAAACATTATACTGGCTTCTAGATGATAGCTAAAGGAAGAGATGCATCTATGCTATTCCCCAGCAGTTGTGAAAATGTCGTCTCAAAGAATATTGAAGTGAAAAAAGTTAGTATATGTCTACCTGGAAAGATATGCTGAAGAAACAGCAAGACTTGGCTCTCGTATCTATATCAACTTTCCAACGAGCTCTGAAGGTGAGATAATAAAATGGCTTACTAAACTAAGATGAATCTAACACTCATTATTGTATTATATATGTAGTTGTTTGCAAATTGCCTAACAAGCAGTTCCTATTCTGGTAAAGGTAAATGTCAAGAATTTCATAGAAGTGACAAGTTTTTAAGATGCGATTCCACCAGTGTGCTGAACTGTGCGGTACTCTAATGCACAGTGTACAGCACAAATGTTTCTCTGGTCGACTCATTCACGCAAACATAGCAAATGGTGCGGAAACATTCGCGAACATCATTTACTTTTGTGCGCGCGCACATGCAAGCAGTGGACTCGCGTCGGCGGGTACATACTTGTTGTTCGCGAACTCAGTATTGCTCCCGCTCCTGGAGTGAAAACATTTGTTTGTACGCGCACTTCTTTTACGAAATTGAAAATGGACTGGACGAATGATAGGATTATAAAATTTATTCAAGCAATTGAAAATTATCCTCTTCTATGGGATTCCAGTCACACTGATTATAAAACAGAAACAAAAAAACACTCAAGAGTTGGCTCAAAGTTTCAATTGTGACTCGACTGAGGTAATGAGAAAATGGAAGATTATTTTGGCTCGGTACCGAAGAGAAAAGAAGAAAATAGCGAATTCAAAATCTTCAGGTGCTGGTTTTCAGATTTATTATTTGTTATTTTATATTGTTATCACAACTGCAGTTTTTAACGCCAAGATCCGTTTCAAGATGTAATGTTACTTTCTTTTGCTGTTGTGCTAACACAAATTTGATTTTGAAATCACCTGAAAGGGTTATGTGTTTGAATTATAGTAGTATTTGTAAGTTTTGTGACATATTTTTATGTTCTATTTCGGAGCTACAAGGAACTCAAAACCTCACACGATATACGAGTAAAATTTTTAAATCCACTTCTACAAAATCTATTCATTTCTTCATTCCATCACTGCAGAAAAGGCCTCACCCAACATCGTGGTTTCTTCTTCGTTTCTGTTTAAGCAGACTACCTATTAAAACACAAGCTGCAGCACAAAAACACTATGTATTCCCGCCTATCCATATAAGAACTGAAGTTAGTGAGAACTTTGCTTGGTAAACATGTTCGTGCACAAGTGTGCTACACTGTACGCTTACAAAAGTTATGCACTGCTTTGCCGGTGGACACAGAAGATAAATTCGATACCAGTGAGCACATTCAATGCTGGAGTTTCACACAAAATGTTTGTAAACAAATGTGGTGAACACTATTTTGGTGGAATCGTACCTTTAGAAACACTGTTTCCACTTTTGTCTATTATTTTGTATATTAGTATATTATGTTTTATCTTCATATAAAAAGCAAAAATACAGTAAAACATCAGGAATTTCTTGGAAATAACTTGTGTTAGTAATACAGGTTTCACTGTTGTTTATTATTTGTATTCTTGTGTTTTCTGTAAATTTTGTTTGCAAATGTCACATTTTTTGTGTTTCAAATGTTATTGACATTGTAATAGAAAATTAAAATAACATATCGGCTATATGCTGCAAACCTGTGATGCATGTTTCTTTCATGTGTATGACGTCTTTTGTCTTGTAAACAGACAACCAAGACTACTCCATAAAAGATTTGTTGAAATTACTTTTGAAAATGTGGAACACAAGGCTATTATTAGTAAAGATGCCAGAGGAGAACATGTTAAACTTGTTTCTAATTAAAACTTCTGATTCATTAGCTACTTTGATGTTACTTTTATCACCATTGCAGTTTGTCTCAAAGAAATGCCTTTTTATTTCATACACTTGGTGATGAAATGAGTGTCATTCTACTGAAACCTTTTTTTTGTATATGTGTCAAACATTTTTCAACTTGAAAAAGAGTCAAATACTTGATAAAATTATATACACATATCATTTGCAGGAACCAAACCAGTTAATACGAGCAGGAGCTCTAAGAGTGTTATCTAGCATACGAGTTAAAGTAATAGCACCAATTGTGATGTTAGCAATAAGAGATGCATCATCTGATATGTCACCTTATGTTAGAAAAAACTGCTGCTCATGCTATCCCTAAGTTATATAGGTAAATCATGCTCAACGTTACTTAAATACATTTTCAGCAATTGTTTCAATTTCACTTGCATATCATAGTATAACTAGTATCTTTTACAAATATTAAAGAATTATTCCGATTTAAGGAAGTTAGGTCATTTTCTGTGTTAGGTGCTCTAAGTGAGCGCCCTCGCGCGTCAAGGTTCGGTCGTGACATCACATGACATAAGTTCAGCTTCATTACAAAATTGATGTATATGATACAATTTCTTTTACAGTTTGGAACCTGAGTTAAAATCCGAACTGATATCAATAATTCAAAAACTACTAGCAGACAAAACAGTGCTAGTGATAGGTTCAGCAGTAATGGCATTCTCAGAAGTGTGTCCAAAAAGGGTAGATTTGATCCATCAAGTTTACAGGAAGCTTTGTGCCTTGTTAGTGGATGTTGATGAATGGGGCCAGGTTACAATTGTCAATATGTTAACACACTATGCCAGGACACAATTTGCTGACCCAAATTTACATGTAAGAAACAGCAAACTCTACTACTGTTAGTTACTCAATATTACTTGATCTAAAGATTTATGTGTAAACTACTTACTTTTTGAATGGCGCAATGAAATTAATGAATGCATGAGTGTATGTGGCAGTCGGATATTTTAAAATGAGGGCTGGCCACTGTTTAGGAACATTATCTCAAATGAAATAGGGGGTTATGCGGGACCTCATTTTGAAGCTCCTCATTAGTATCCAATCCATAACTCTGGAATATAAAATAAGTATTATCCCGCCAAAACTAGGTTCAGTCATAGTTAATGAGACCTCCGGGTGTGGTTCTTTGTACCTTGGATGCAGTGGTGATTTGGGCGCCACCTAGTTTCAAAAACAAGGAAATGAAATAACAAGTATCACTGTTGGGATTCTGGCGCTAAAGGAAATACAAACTCACAAGATACACAGACATTTATTGAACAAAAAAAATAAAAAGAATTTAAAGTAGTCCTCAAAGACAAGTTGAAGAGAATTAATCGGTATTACCCCCCTAGCTAAATGGTTATAAAAAAACCTTGGCTATCCCCGAACGGCAACCGAGGGCAGGAAGTCCCAGATGTCCCTGTATACCTGAAGGTAGAACCCAAGGTAAAACCGGATGGTAAAACTGCAGGGTAGAACCCTAAATACGTACGTAGAAAAAATTACTTGTAAAAAAAACACGAAATCACGATTTGACTACTAATCCCCCCTTTTAATTTGGTTCCAAGAATTAAAGATTTAACTTTGACATGGAACCATTTAGTCTTGGTAACAGAATATGAAATCAATATCTTCCAAAATAGCTGACTGGCAGACTGTCAGCATTGAGCAATTTTGGACATACCACCTTTCAAAGTGTCATCAAACACTGGTATTTTGTGCTAGTAGGCGAAAATCTGATGATTGTCACCTACCAGTGGCTTGCCATTCACATCCTCACTACTGATATGGGCATGTTTCCTTTTCATCTTCTGCATCCATGACCAAACGCAGACAGCGCCGTTTCATGCTCTTTAGCAAATGGGAAATTCTTGGGAGTTTGTATTGACCAATCACTTTCCTGGGTTAAACATATAGAACATCTAGGAAAAAGGTTAAACAATGCATGCTATAGCATCAGGGTACTAAGTAAGTACCTAGACCTTGATACACTAAAAACGGTATATTACGCGAATTTTGAGTTTTGCCATAATTTTTTCCGGACGTATGTGCAGCAGCCATACCTATAGAATCTTTCTAGTGCATAGTGTGTGCTGAGATGCATCCTAAAAATTTCCTTTAGGGAGACTTGCAGAGGAAATTTAAGAGTTATAAAATTTTAACTGTAACCACAATATACAGGGTGACTTTGAAGTTGAGTCATTAATTTTCAGATAATGATTGTAGAAGGAAGATAAACCAAAATATGTGTGTAAAAATAAAAAAAAATGTTTACCTTGTTTTATAAAGTATCCTCCCGACAAGTATTTCAGTGGGGACCTGTATTTGATCGTGAGGTCTTGGAGCACCGGCATGCCGTCCATATGTGAGGTCTTAAGTCACCTGATTCACGAACCCGTTGTACTACATTAACAAAGGCACGAGGGGTTGATTGCACCGATCCGCATAAACATGTGCCATTTTTTATTTCGTTTGAGCCACGCAACAGACACCACTATTCACTACCGACTGACACTGACTGTATACAACTGAATGAAATAATTGTAAAAACATCGTTCCAAATTCTTTCGCTTTTTTGTTTCCGATGCGATGAACCGATAAGGCGGATTATATCCGTTGTCGCCAAACACGAGCACATAATATTATTATTGATACAGGGCGGTACTTAAACTTCCAAAGGGCTATAACTTTGTTACTTTAATTTTACCAGAAAAATGGTAAAGGAAAAAAACATTTCTTTTGATCAGATCTACTCACTGTTAAAATAAATGACTCAACTTCGAAGTTACCCTGTATATTCAAGAGGTACTAATGCTTACATTTAAAAACATTGACAATTTTATGGGTAACCCACGAAGTGACTATAACACAAGAAATATAAATATAAATCTCCTGTATCCAGTCCATCATCTCACGGTTACCGAAAAAAATGTCCATTACAGCTGCACTAAAATATATAATACAAGGTGGGCCATTAAGTTGAGCGGATTTTTAAAAATCATAGAAAAAAAAACTACAAAGCGTAGGGAAGATAATTTATATTTTTATTGAAGTATACATATTTGAATTTTATTTTTAAAAAATAACATTATTGAGATGTGAGCCATCGACACGTGCGTACTCCTGAAAACTCACTGGCACATCGCTCGTGTTATAGTGGTCATCTCCTCGGAAATTTTGCTTGAGCTGGACAATCGTCGTCAGTTTATTGGCGTGAATGAGGCTCTTGAGGTATCCTCGGAGAAAAAAAAAATATGGCGTGAGATCTCGGGAGGCCACGGAATGTCATTTCGTCGCGATATCAGTTTTCCAGCAAACATTTCGTTCACAACTGCTAAAAACTCGTTGGCGATATGGGATGGCACGCCATTTTGTTGAAACCAGGTCCTGCTATGGTAGGCTGCAAAATTATGCAGTTGTGGGAAGAAAAGGAAAAAATAGGGTCAGATGATTCCTTCAGCAGGTATGACGGACCAAACTGTAACATAACGCGATTGCAAAGGTCGTTCGTGTTTTTAATTTGGGATTTTCTGTGGCTCAATACCTTTAATTTTGCTTGTTGACAAATCAATTTAAATGAAAATGAGCTTCATCAGAAGAGAGAATATTGTTCAAACTTCGAAACTTGTTCGGCAAACGCACGGCATAGATGGTGGTCCTGCGGTTTCAATTCCTGCACTAGTTGAAGTTTATACGGGTTCAATTTAAAGTCTCTTACAAAATACGCATTGCAGATGTTCTTGATATGGCGAACTCAGCTGATCTTCCCATTCTATGTGAAAAATATTTAAAGGCCATCATAAAATGTTTAACTGCCACTTTTCCACTAAAATAGAAGTACGAGTTGAGTTGATATACAATACAGTTTTTCATGTAAATTTTAGAATACAGCTAATGAATCGGACAAAGATTCTTATGACTCAAACTCTGAGTTGTCGGATAAACCTGTCCCAAGCTTGGACCCAGATCATCGTTTATTATTGCGTTCAACACGTCCGTTGCTGCAGTCGAGGAATGCAGCTGTTGTGATGGCAGTTGCACAATTGTATTATCACTCAGCACCCGCCAGCGAAGCTCCACTGGCTGCCAAAGCATTAGTTAGGTAAGCTTCAACTAACTCCAAATAACCAAACTAGCGACATATCTGTCGTTCGTCCGACCACAGACGGCCAATCATGGACAGCCATTTCGTGCTATTTGGCAACTCTTCAGCATGGTCTCGGTGTACAACAAATGAAGGCTTTGGTGCAGAAAGGTGTTAAAAGGGTGCTTTTTTGGTAGTACATCTATCCAGTTCTTAGATACAGAGATTCATAAAAGTGTTAACTATATCAAAAACTTCAATCTGTAAACTTTAAAAGGTGTTAACTCTTGCATTACGGGTAAAAAGTTAAGGGTTAATTCAGTTTTCATTTAAAATGGAAAGATGTTTACGATGTAGGATCGAATGAGGAACATGCGGCAAAGTATAAAAAAGCTTTTGACGTACAAAAATCTGATCGAGGAATAGCAAAAACAAACGAAAAAATCATATACCTCACATTTGATTTACAAAAAAGGCTTTCCTTGCCGAAAATGTCTTCTATTTACGACAAGGATGGTTCTAAATCTAGGAATACATTTGATATCAACACAGCAACCAATTGTTATTTTTTTTTCACGTCTGGACCGAAGACCAAGGAAATCGCGGTTCTGAAGATATTGGCAGCTCACTTATGGCCTTTTTGGAGAATATCAAGGACCAAGGCATGGTTTGCGATCATCTGATTGCATGGAATGATTCAGCCGGTGCCTAAAATAATATATATATATATATATATTCTGTCTATGGCACTACCCAATAATCTCTGGAGTATTCAAAAAATTTACCATAAGTTCCCTGAAGTACTTTTAATAAATAACATCATTGAATTAACACCTTTCTGCTACTTTCATTTTCCGGGTACAAACAAATAACAGTTTTTTAAAAAGGTGTTAAGTCAGATTTTCAACACTCTTTTTCAAATTTTTGATAATAAAAACAATTTTTTAACAAAACTGTCTATTCGAGATACTGTTATAAGTGTCTAAAATAACATTCAATGATAAAAGCAGCCCTAACACCATTCAATAAAAAATGTCAGGATTTAAACTTTGAGGCCAATTTTCTCCAAACTATAAAATCTGAGTTAACACCTTTTTGCACCAAAGGCTTCAAATGAAACCTGATCAGCTTTACTCTATTCAGAGACAGCACAAAGTACCATCTACTACGAAATAACCAATTATCCAGTATATTTACTCTAAGGCATATTTTTCAATATGTGTATGCTGTTTAACCATTTTCCACAATTCCATCGTTTTTAAACCACCAGTATGCATTTATATTTATATACAGGGTGTCCCAAAAGTCGTGGATCAAACCAAAGGGTGTCGTTTCCAATCAGAAAAAATCATACGAGGACTGTAAGTTATGAGACTGATTTTTAAAATTTTTTATCCAAATGTAATTACAATTTTATATTGTCACCCTCAAAATAATTTACTTCTGAAGCCACACAGCGCTGTAGACGGTTCTTCCACTCCTCGTATTAGTGATGGAACTCCGATACTGGAGTAGCCTTCGATTAGAGTCGTTTGAATGTTTTCGACTGTCTGAACTTGTACTGAAGGCGGATCAAAAATCTGGTTTCGGTATGGTACTGCTTGCCGATTCTTATTATACTAGACATGAGCTCCAAGTACGGTATAATGAGGGTGTGCCGCTCTTTATTCCTTGTGCTTCTCCTGATTGTAGTATCGTCTTGGGTATCCGTTGTTTGTTAGATCTTCCTTAATCTCACGGGTCTCCTCTTCTCAACTTGCCTGTGTGCTGCAGATGTCCTTAGCTCTATCAACGAGAGTTCGAATCACCTCTTTCTTCCTGGTCACAGGATGGAGAATGGAAGGCTGTTGTCCACTTCCTCTTCTATCGTAAACTTTATCGATGGTCTTAGGCTGTTGAGGTGTTCAAAAATTTTCGCAGCTAGTCGTATCTATGGTTCCGGATAATGCATGCGCATATCGCATCCATAACTCCGGTTTTATTTCTGCGCTTTCCGTGGCCATTAACTCGAAGCATTCCATGTACAAGTTAGCCACGACTGGAGGCATCCCTTCTTTCTTGTACGTAAAATTCTTCTTCACTTAATTTACAGACCTCGTATAATCCTTTATGAATTGATGACACCTCCCTGAAAATTGCAAAGTCAACCTACTTGACGTCATATTTTTTTGCTAGGTTACTGAGATCTCATGTTGAAGTTCAGAGCATCGTTTTGAACACAATAGCTTCAATCAGCGCTAAGAACAAAGGGATGTTTGAACCTTATCTGAAAACATTTTTTGTGAGAACTTCCGATCATACAAACATTAAATTGTTGAAGTTGGAGATACTGACGAATCTAACCACGGATGCCAATGTTTCAATCATCCTTATGGAATTGCGAACATATGTTTTCAACAGTGATAAGAATTTTGTTGCTGCCACTATTCAAGCCATTGGAAGATGTGCCTGTTCAATTTCAGAAGTTACAGATTCGTGCCTTAACGGGTTGGTCTCTCTCTTATCTGATGGAGATGGTGAGTAGAGTTTTATCACATACTTATCTATCTGCGGACCAGTAGAATGACTCTGGCTAATATTTGTCAGACAAGTGGATTTTACGCGCATGCAAGGGAACACAGGTTGTAGAACAGAGACCAGCAAAATCACATGAGCTGCCGGACTGTGTTTTCAAGCTGTTAACTGCACGGAACTGTGCATTGCAATAAGCAGTTTCAATTAACAAGAGCATTAAAACAAATTATACGTGTAGGCTGATTTTTTTGATCTAACTAAAACCTTTGATTGCATGAAGTATGAGGTACTACTGTGAAAGCGTCCTTTTTATTCCATGGCTCCATACAGTGTGCAGCTTCTCAAGTCTTACTTATCTGCAGATCTACTGTCACCACATTTTTGCTTGGGGCTCCTCAAGGATCTGTACTTGGACCATTGTTATTCTTGTTATACATTAATGACATTCAGACTTGCCTCAGTAACAGCATTAGTAGCAAACTATTCTTGTATGACGATAAAACTACTCTTCTTTCAACTCACAGCACCTTAGTAAACCTAGATAATGAATCATCCGCATGCAGGAGGGACATTCAGAACTGGTTTGTTGTTAACGGGCTGACCTTAAATGGAAACAAAACTCATATAGTGACTATTTTGACGCAAATGATGACAATTCAAATACAGTAAAGTATGGGTATGTTGACTCTTCTTTGACAGAAGCTATCATTTTTTAATACCCCAGCTAAAACGAATGCATAAACACCCATGGAGTACCGTGAGGCTATAGGAGGATACAGGGGAAGTGGGGGACGCCACACGGTCTCTAGTGATGGAACACGAGTGCATGCAGCATGCACACCTTCTGGCCCCGCCTACGAGATCCGCCGGGTGGTACCTCCGCGTACCATAGTCAGAGACCTTCTACCACAACATCCATAGCCAAGAGAAACATTTCTCTTTAGACGGATATCGAACTCGTGTAGCGCACGGCGAGTGATTAGGAGACCGCAGTGTCTACCACCACGCCACCGTCGCTGCCTGATACATAATCTGAGAAATTCGGTGTCACGGAAAACATTGCTCACCAGTTACCATACATACCTCCACAGTAGGATGACGTACGCCATTCTGGCACAGGGTCATTATCCACACATGCGAAGAGTTGTTGTCCTTGCAGGAATGACTTCATTAAAATCATTAAATTAGAAAGATGTCAATCCTTCTATGACTTAGGGGTAACTTTTGATAGTAGTCTCACATTTGCAGAGCACATAAGAGAAATGGTTGCAAAGTTAAATAAAGTATTGGGATATTGTAGTAGAAATTGGTCGTCATATTAATGGGGTTACAGTCCTGTACAATTTAATAAATAATAAGTTGGCCTGCCCAGACTTACTGTTTAAAGTTAATTCTGCAATACCTTAAAGAGTTACACGCTACCCTGTATCTCAGATATGACGCCTATAAATCGAATGTGCACTTCTTTTAATAAATTTTGCTATTAACTGTGATGCTCTTGATGTGACTCTGCCCAATCTTGGACATAACTGTGCTGTGGTAGGATGTTGAGATGTACATTGCAATGTGATTTTTATTATATTTTGTGTCAATTTTTTGTATCAACTTTACTACTTTGACCTTTACTTTTATACCAGATATGTCTTTGATATTGCCAAATGAAATAGAATATCTCGATTATAAACAATTTGGCAAAACGGTGTAATGCTTCCTACTATTCGCAGCTTTTTTTGACGTCGAAGACTTCTGTAACTTTTTCAGCCTGGTATAATCTTTATTGTATTTATTTCTTTTATATTTTTTAACTATCTCTATTTATTGTTCATCTAAATTTTATTTGTTTTCATTTAGTTTTGTTACCTTTTATTGCCACTTTGTGTTTTATGTTTGTTATATTTAGGTAGTGTTTGTTGATTTACTTACTCTTTTATGTTCTACTCTTATTGACCTGTGCAAACACATCTTTGTGTAATAGCATCAATACATTATTATTAATATTTTTAGTAATTATTACTATTATGTTTCAAGTCAACGTTAAGGTATAATTTTTTTCATTTATAGAAGCTGTAGTTGCGGAAAGTGTAGTGGTCATAAAAAGACTGTTGCAGATGCAAGCTGCCGATCCCAAAGAAATAATCACACATATGGTGAGACTGCTCTGTAGCATAACGGTAGCTCAGGCGAGAGCAGCCATCTTGTGGCTGTTGGGAGAACACTCGCAGAAAGTTCCTAATATTGCGCCCGATGTCCTCAGGAAAATGGCTAAGACTTTTTCAGACGAGGTGACTTGTGTAACTTGGTAAATTTTCAAACATGCTAAATAGACTTTTTGTTTCAGAATGATATTGTTAAACTACAAATAATGAACTTAGCAATTAAATTATACATAACAAATCCGGAGAAAACAGCTCTTTTATGTCAATATATTTTCAGTTTAGCTAGATATGATCAAAACTATGATATAAGAGATAGAGCTAGATTACTTAAACATTTTGTACCTAATCAAGAGGGAAGAATTCGGTCACAAGCGGCTAGAATATTTTTGGCCAGCAAACCAGCACCTTTACTCCAATCACAGTTCAGAGGGTAAGTGAAAGATCAAACGCTACGTTGCCAGCCTCATTACTCAATTTACAGACCTCGTATATAGGCCCGTATGTAAATGTGTAGGGATCACAAAAGTAATGACTGCTGATTAATTCTTCTGAAATTATGATCGCGCAGGTATTACAGAAAAAGATGATTCCATGAATTTTCTAATTACAGATACCGAGGAGTTGCAGCTAGGTTCTCTTTCACATTATATCAGGCAAAGGGCGAACGGCTATAAACCTTTACCGCCATTCCCTGAAAATCCTCCTCCTGGTGATATTAGAAATGTAGAACCTTTGTATGGAGAAGAAAACTCAAAATCCTACAATGAGGCGGTTAGTATAGCCTGAAATCTGAATAGGCACGCTTCGGTTGAACGGATTGCTTTGCGTGTGACACCAAACTCGAAAACTATTTAGTTAATGCCCAGTCGGCAGATGAATTATCATCTATACAACTTCTCGAAACCATTTCGTGTCTTTTGTAAAAGTCAAATAAGAAATGAATTTTGAAAATGTTTAGAATTACTTTTGTCTATACTAATTATGGTTATACTCAACATTCTCAAAATATTAATAATGTTGAGTAGCACGAGGGTGGTCTGAAAAGTGTCTGACCTAGCAAAGATACAAGAAATTCTTTCTGATTTTTATTTTATTTTCCAACCTTGTCTCCGTGTTACTCTATACACCCAACCGATGCTCTTATCTCTGTAACCCGTCAAAATAATACTCGGCGTTTTTTCTCTGCAAAATAATTGCTCACAAAGGTGATTGCCTCCTCATATTACGAAAATACTCCAAGCGCAATTTTTAGATGACGGAATAAACAGAAGTTGCCAGGGGCTAGATCTGGTGAGTGAGGCGGATGACCCAAGCAGTTCAAACTGTAATTCGTAGATTTTCGCCATGACAACCGCTGAGGTTTGAGACGGTGCGTTGTCTTGGTGAAACAGAATTTTCGTTTTCTGCAAATATGGCCGTTTTTCCACAAGCTCTGCCTTCAGCTTGTCAAGTAATGATGCGTAGTATGCTCCTGTAATATTTTTTTTTCTTTGAAGTAAATCGATTAAAATGATTGCATAACAACCCCCAAAAAACAGTCGCCATCACTTTCCAGCCTAAAAAACAGTTTTTGCTTTTTTTGGAGCCGTTTCCCCATTTGCAGTCCACCGTTTGGACTGTATTTTTGTTTCGGGCGTATAATAGTGTATCCAAGTTTCATCTACAATAATTAATCGACGCCAAAACTCGGATTTATTGCGCCTAAACTGCGCCAACAGAACGTTGGACATCTTCATTCGAACACGTTTTTGGTCTAACGTGAGCAATCGCGGCACCCAATGCGCGGACAGCTTTCTCATGCCTATATGTTGATTTAATATGTGACAAACACGTTGTTTTGACATGTCATAACCTCTGCTATCTCTCTTACTTTAATTTGGCGGTCGTCTAGCACGTAGCTAACATTCATGGTCTCCCAAGCTTTTACGGCCGCGTTTAAATTCAGCTGCCCAAAATGTCACTGTGGTAAATGATGGTGTCCCCATACACAGAATCCAACTCATCTTTGATTTGCGTAGGCGTATTGATTTTGTCAATTTTCACAAACGACTGTTACATAACAACTGAGCGTCTAAAACGGCTGAAACTTTGGTGAGTAACTGTCAACAGATGAACAACGAAATTCACTAGCTTTTATTTACGAGTGCTGCCATCGTCACGTTGAGGTCGGAAACTATGCAGACTACCCTCGTATATATTATTGTTGAAAGAAATATTTGTCTTCTCACGCTGCCACATTCTATACAACAGATCATAGTGCATATAAAGTAACAGAACTTATACAGGGTGACTTTGAAGTTGAGTCATTAATTTTCAGATAATGATTGTAGAAGGAAGATAAAGCAAAATATGTGTGTAAAATAAAAAAAAACTTAAAAACAAAATGTTACCGACAAGTATTTCAGTGCAGACCTGTATTTGATCGTGCGGTCTTGGAGCACCGGCATGCTCTCCCCTGTGAGGTCTTAAGTCACCTGATTCACGAGCCCTTTGTACTACATTAACAAAGGCACGAGAGGTTGGTTGCACTCGATTGGGAAACCGATCCACATAAATCCGTGATGCCGCGGCAGTAAATAAGAATCATGTTCACAAGTTCAGCATTTTCGTAAACATGTGCCATTTTTTATCTCGTTTGAGCCACGCAACAAACACCACTATTCACTCACGCGTTACCGACTGACACATTGACGGAATACAACTGAATAAAATTGTAGTAAAAACATCGTGATAAGCTTTTCAAATTATCTCGCTTTTTGTTTCCGGTGCGATGAACCGAGCACATAATATTATTATTGAGACAGGGCGGTACTCAAACTTCTAAAGGGCTATAACTTTGTTACTTTAATTTTACCACAAAAATGTTAAAGGAAAAAACATTTCTTTTGATCAGATCTACTCACTGTTAAAATAAATGACTCAACTTCGAAGTCACCCTTTATATTATATGTACAGGATGTACCAACAGTACGAGGACGGAGTATTGCTCCTAAACAAAAAGTATTCATAGGTAACTTTGAATTATTATACTAAGTGACATATAAATCCGAACACCCAGTTTAAATGGTTTTATTTTAATAAAAGTTGGTGAATGTAATTATCTTACTGTAAATAACAAGTGAAAAAATGTTCAGCCTTATAAGTTGATCATTCCGGTTTTTATACTGCTTTTTTTTTTTAATTCACTAACGCTCTAAAAATGAATATTTCAGCCGCAGTAAAGAATCAACGTTGGCGGATTTTGGTTCTTGACATCCTTTACGATCGGTTACGATGCCTAGAGTACGGAGACCTGTACGATTTCGTCAACTTAGTGAGTTTGATAGGGGCCGTATAGTGGGGACTTCGGGAAGCTGGACTTTCTTTCGGGCAATTGCAGTTAGAGTGCAAAGAAGTGTAGACACTGTGGTTAGGTGTTGTCAGGCATGGCTTCGAGAAGGCTGTACGCAAAGAGTAAGGGGCACTGGACGCCGCCGTAGAACAACAGACCGTGAAGATCGCCGCCTAAGATTATTGGCCTTAAGGGACCGTTTCTCCACTACCAGGTCCATTACAAATGAATGGTTTGCAGAACACGGAAGACCTATTGGCATGCGAAGTGTTTACCGACGAATGAGAAGTTTTGGCTTGTTTTCATACCGGCCACACTGGGTCCTCCCTTTAACTCGAGAACACCGACGTAATCGCCTTGAGTGGTGCAGACAACGGTCACTCTGGGATCAGGAATGGAACAGTATTGTCTTTAGTGACGAGTCTCGATTTTGTTTAGGCATGCACGATGGTCGTGCCAGGGTTAGAAGGCGACGTGGTGAAAGGAGGAATCCACAGTTTTTTGTTGAAAGACATGTTCATCACACTGTTGGAGTTATGGTTTGGGGTGCTATAGCTTATGGTTCCAGGTCACCTTTAATCTTCATCAGAGGTAACATGAACGCGCAGCGTTATATCCACGAAGTTCTAGAACCCATCTTTTACCCTATCTTGACACCCTGGCAGATCCAACTTTCCAACAAGATAATCCCCGACCACATGTTGCAAGAGTCACAATAGACTTCTTTCAACATAATGATGTCAGATTGTTACCATGGCCACCAAGATCTCCCGACTTATCCCCAATTGAGCACGTGTGGGATATGATGGGTAGGAGATTGCTCAATTTGCAACGTCCTCCTCAGACTCTAGAAGCACTTCGAGAGGAGTTGGTGGTTGCCTGGAATGAGATACCACAGGAGGGCATTGACCACCTGATCAGAAGCATGCCTAGGCGCGTTGGAGAATGCGTAACACATCAGGGTGCATCCACACATTATTAAAGGTCATAGGGCTTTAAAGCAGTGCAATCATTTTGAAATTTTTATCATTTACTTATTATGCTTCATTAAGTACTTATACAAAATTTTATTAAAATAAAACCATTTAAAGTGCGCGTTCGGATTTATATGTCACTTAGGGTTGAGTGGAAGAACAGCCAGGGCTAATCTTCGCCCATTTGTAATATAAATAAAGATGTTCATTATTATTATATGTTATTTGGAGGCATACTTCTAAAATATTCATTTTTATACAGCGTGTACTAGTAGGACAAATAGTTTGAATCGTACTTATGTTTAGTCATATGCGTCATTTTCAGACATCTGATTAATTTTGTATTATAATATCAATCAGCAATAATGAATTACAACACAATAGTATTGAATTGCTTGGTTTTCTGATTTTATAGACATATTTTCAATAATCCTTTACTTGTATTTTGCTTTCCTGGATGATGTAACTTGTTTGAATAGAGAAATATATCCATTTTATTAACAAATAGCTATAACGCAGAAACCGTAGAACAAATTGGTAACAACTTTATATTTAAAAAAGCTCACGAAAATGGTAATACGATAGTGCAAACTTATACACGATATTCATTTTTTTTTGCGAAAAAGTACATTTCGTATTTTTGACCACCAGGTAAATCAAAATGATTTACCAAGTTTATTGGAAGACGTGCCACTAAGCATTTACAGAGACATGTGATACCAGCAAGACGGCTGCCCGACGCACTATGCCCGTTCATTTAGAAAATATCTTGATGCGGAATACCCAAACCGATGGATAGGGCGGTCTAATACAATTTTGTGACCAGCCCGTTCACCTGACTTAAATCCGCTCGATTTTTTTTACTGGGGAGCGATGAAAAAAAAAGTATTCCGATCTGTATCTGACGTCGACTTCTGTATAATAATCCATAAATATTTTCTTTGAAAACTTTTTGTTTAAGAGCAATTCTCTGCCCTCGTACGGTTGGGATACCCTGTTTATCATACGTGACTAACCTTAATTTGTTTTTGTGCATAGAACAAAAAAGGTAAAGAATTATTCAGTTGGGAGTCTGATGCCAGTTCAAATGGAAATAGTAACCCGAGCAGTTCTGGTAGTGAATCTTCCTCTGGTAGCACCGATTCTGAAGAGGATTCGGCTGAAGAAGAGTCTGGTGAAGAAGAATCTGAAAAGTAAGTTGATTTCAACGAGTAATATAGATTCACGTCTACTTTAAAATAGAGATGCTTCAACCAACTTGTGTCATTTCAGCCAAAAATCATCATCGTCCGAAGATTCAGTATCTATGAGTGAAGAATCAAGTTTGGAAGAGCAGCATGTTCCAAAAACAAATTCTAAACACGATCACGTGAACAACGTAAAAGAGAAAAAATCAAATCTAGATCTCCTCCTAGATTTGGACTTGAGAAGCCCTGCTCCTGTGCTGACACCTTCTTTGGGTGGTTTTTTCACTCCATCTGGTGGTGGTGACAAATCATATGATATACAGGTCTGCCTAAAGCACCGACTACTAAAAAATATTTATTCATTAAATAAAAAATAGTGCGTTGCGCACATGTCGTTGGGCCAGGGGGGGAGGGGTTGTAAATGGCAGCAACTTTGGAGGGGGGACAGGGAGTCAAATCCGACAGTGTGACCATTTCATTTTTTAATACTGTTCAGAAAAAGGACCCGGTCGGCAATTTTTTGAAGAGGACCCATTTGTTCAGTACAGCGAAAAAATTGAGGTTTTCGAGTTCGTTCAAATTGGGCCTGTTTGTACATCTAGTAGGTGTGAAAGAGAAAACACATTTTTTTTCGTGTCACGTTCATTCGCCAAGTTACGGGCTTCGAAAGAGGAAATTGGTATTTTTTCGAAGAATTGTTTCAAATTAAAAAGTACTATATTGGGATGGGAAACAGCAATTTTTTTATAGAAAATTTCATGTACTTTTTGGTGAAAAAACCATATTTGGAATTAAAAAAAACTGAAGATGCTAAACCGGGAGTAAACATTTCAAACCAAAATTTTGGCAACTTCGCATTTTTTTATATTCGAATGTTTACTCCAAAATAAAGCATAAAGTTTGTTTAAAATACATGAGGCATTTGGAAATTGTATGCGCAATGATTAAAGAAGTACGTATTTTTATGTACACACATGTCGCCCTGGGTATAACGTCAGGTGGACTGGTTTTGGACATATTGCATTAATCGGCTCGAATATGCAAAATTCTTTCATGATGGATGTCTTCTTTCGAGCAGCAGAAAATTGTTGTTTGTTTCAAACTACCTGAAGCTGGTACTCGTTGCATGGCGAAGTTGTCCAAATTTTGGTTTGAAATGTTTACTTCCAGTTCAGCGCATTACTTTTTTTTTTTAATTTCAAATGTGTTTTTTTATCAAAGAGTACAGAAAATTTGCTATGTAAAACGCTGTTTTATATTCCAATATATTAGTTTTCAAACCAAAAAAATTCTTGGTCAGAAATACCAATTACAACATCATATTTTCTCTTTCAGAAGTACTAGATGTTCAAATTTTATTAATGGTTTGTTATGTACAGGTTGTACAGCCGACGTTCACCCACACGAAACCCATAGAACTGTTGAATCGAATCAGCGGCAGGGGAATGTCAGTTACATATAGATTTACTAGAAGTCCACATTTGTACTCACCGAGCATGACGAATATTAATTTGTCCTTCACGAATCATACTGAAGAAGAGATCACTGACATAAGACTGGGGAAAAAGGTTGGTATTCCAGAAAATAGTCAGCCGCAACCTATAAGCAGTTATTTGCAGTCATTCTAATATCAATTGAAACACAACAAAAATGTGTGAAATCCTATATCCCAGAAGTCGACATCAGTTACGAAACGGACGATAGGCCAAGTCATAATAGTTATCATAGAAATATAAAAAAAAACTAGGATTGGTCTTTTCTCTCTGGACGAACCATGCTGATGAGTAGCCAAAAAGTTCGAAACAGCTATCCGTGGTTAGCTCTCGTTTTGGTCGGACGGACGAAAGCATCATGTTTACTTTTTTCAATGACAACTAGACCACATCTACTTCATATCCAGAATCGTCAGCCATCTAGCGGTTACGTGGTGACTGAGCTATTAAACGCTAGCCGAGATCCCTAACAGTTCGGCTATGGCCGATTCTGGTGTGATACATGACGCTTTGCGTTGTCTTATTTCACTGCACATTGGCCGGGGTTGACCAATGTTGACGCTGAATGATAGCATATCATGCCAACGTTGGCTCTAATGTGTAAATGCACGCTAAAAATACTATACCGTCTATTATTCTACTCGACTAGTAAGAAATGTTAATTTTTTATGTTGAGATATTTCCTTCTTTTCCAGAATTTGATGACTGGTATGAGTCTCCATGACTTTGCATATATATTAACACTACCTCCAAACTGCTCCTTGCCGGCCACTCTTGGGGTTGATTTTAATGACAGTACTCAACCTGCCAACTTTGAGATCGTGTCTTCTTTAGGTAAATACTATTTTTTGTCATTCAGTCCACTAAAATGTTCCTGTTTAAATAAATCCCTACTGGTATTATAAAAGTAAAAGTGTGTATGTATGTTCCGTTTTCACGCCGACACGGCTGAACCGATTTTGATGAATTTTACTATATATATACAGGGTGTCCGCAAAGTTGGGGTTTTCCTTTTCAGAAACAACTACCCTTGAAATAACAAAGGTAATGTGTAGTGAAACGAGGGCGACCACGTAAAAAAAATAAAGGAAAAGTACTCACTCTCCAGTTGACGAGAAGGGCTAAGTACGTCTCTGCCCGAAATCATACCGCTCCAACAGGAAATGAAATCAGCTGATGCGCTACTGAGCAGACGCAGGCAAACAAGGAAGGCAAAATGTTGCGTAAAAAGTCTAGATATTGCATCCCGTCCAATCGATTTGGGAGAATAAATGGTCCAATGAGCATACCGTTCACCATGCCAGCCCAAACATTCACCGAAAATGTTTGTTGAAAATGCGCCCGACGGACAGCGTGCGGATTTTCTACTGACCAAACATGAGTGTTGCGAAAGTTATTCACCCCATTACGCGTGAACGTAGATTCGTCTGTCACCAATATGCACTTCAAAAAGTCCGGATGATTGTCATGTTGATGCAACTACCACTCACAAAACCGCACTCTTGCTGGAAAATCGTCAGGTTGAAGGGCTTGTACACGTTGGAGGTGAAACGGATACAGCCCCTCTTCACGCAGCGTTTGCCACACTTTAGTTTTTGATACTTGCACTTCTCTAGCCACGTCTCTAGTGCTTGTTTTTTGAAACGCAATCGATTATACGAGTTCGTTTATCTCTACACGCATGACCGTAACCGTCGGTTGAAGGTTGGATACTGACCTGACACACTGACCCCGACCCAGTTCTGTCGTCGGGCTGAGCTAGTGTACTAGTACCACTGGGGGATGCGCGGCTACAGGACGGTATTCAGATATTTTTGATGTTGCAGAGCCCTTTATCTCGGTTCCCTTAAGACATTGGTGTATATGGTACTAAGAAAAATTGCTTATGTTTTCAAGATCTACACGTCGTGTAAAGGAAAACCCCAACTTTGCGGACACCCTGTATATACAGTAGCGAACAAAAGTTTTTTTATTCTTATTATTAAGCACTATTTTTTTCTCATATAGTTTGCTTACAGTCTTGAGGATACAAATGGCAATTTGAGTTTGGTGTGGTACTACAGACTAGCATTTAAATACCTTCATATTATTTTAAAAGCATTCAACACTGCCTGACATGTGCTGCTCATAGAAGAGACCAATTTCTTACAGACTTCTGTTGGGATGTTGTGCCAAATAATTTTTACATAATCAAATAAATCGTAACTTATTTTAAAAGTTTTTCTTGTCAGGTGTTTTTTAACATGACCCAGAGATGTTCTATAGGGTTTAGGTCCGGGGATTGCGAATGTCATGTAAAAACATTAACATTTTTTAGTCTTAACCAGTCCTTTACGAATTTTGAGGTATGCTTGGGGTCATTATCTTGCTGGAAAGTCCATCGTAAAGGAATTTCTTCTTCAGCAAAAGGGATCATGTGCTTACTAAGAATATCTTTGTAATGTTTTTGATCCATTTTCGCAACAATTTTAACAATTGGATCTGTTCCAGAACTATAAAAACAGCCCCAAACTATGATTTTGCCTCCACTGTGTTTAACTGTCATCAACTGATACTTTTTTCGAATCTTTTTCGTATTGGACGTGTCACATATGCCGTACCGTCAGATCCAAACAAGTTGCTTTCATCGCTCCATAAAACTGTATTCCATTGTTGTTCTGTCCAAGTTAGATGAGTTTTAGCAAATTCAAGCCGAGCAATACGATTTTTGTTGAATGAGAGGCTTTTGCACTGGACACCTACCAAAAAGCCCAAAATCCCCCAAGCGTCTCTGCACTGTTCTGTTCATTCGAGGATCTTCATGGGAAAAGCGTTCAATGTAGCGATCCAAAACATACTCGGTTTTTTCGGTCATTCGCACCTGGGCCGCATTGCTGTTGATCCGTATTCTTGATATTCACTAATAATTTTCGAAATGGTCCCTTTGTTCGTTTTTAATTTTTGAGGAATGACAACATTTTTGACACCACTTCTAAATAATTCTTTGTCTCTTAAATGTTTTTAAAATTGTCTCACTGTTGCTATTCTCACTGATGTTAATACAGGGTGCGGCAGAGAGGACGGACGTTTTTGGGATGGGTAGTACTCTCCGCCTCCGTCTACGAGAGAGGTGGGGAGGGTGCCGTTTGACTCGTGAGATCCTAGCATTATTTTACCAGTTGTCGTTATGGAGCCTTGGACGGTGGAGCACCGCGTTTTCGCCTATGATTGTTTCGTCCGAAATAATGAGTCGGTCATCGTCGTACAGCGTGAGTTTCGTCGCCACTTCAACATTCATCGGAATAGAGCTGTTCCCTCTCGAAACACCATCCTTCGTTGTGTTGAATCACTTCGCAGGCGTGGTGAACTGATCAACAGAAGACTAAGAGGAGCGCCGCGAACAGTTCGAACTTCTGAAAATGTTGAACGCGTTCGACAGGTCTTTCTTCGCAGTCCGACTCGATCAGCCCGGAAACATGCTGCTGCACTTGACCTTAGTGATCGTTCGATAAGGCGAATTTTGCATATGGATCTCCGCGAAATTCGCGTGGAAGTCGCCCAAGTTGAGAGAGCGATGTTGGAGAGAGTCTACGCGAACTTCCAAGAACGCCTCCAGCACTGCATCTATTTCGGCCACCACATGCCTGATGTGATTTTCCACATTTGACTGTCTCAAATGCTATTTCCTTGTGAACCTGATTCCATCAATAAATTTGTTTTCGAGTAAAAATTAACTGTTTTATGATTTTTTTAAAACCGTCCATCCTCTCTGCCGCACCCTGTATTTACCGCGCGCAATATCAGAGTATCGCAGAACGAATAAATACGGCAAAACTGAAATGTTTCCATACTTTTGTCGTTACAAAATTTGTGGTATTTAAAAAAAACGCGTGGTTTTATTTCGGGAGAATTTGAATATTGATAAGATAAACCTTGTATTAGTACGGGAGCCAAAGGTAGACTTTAATATTTATATTATCTGTTCCTTCACAATTTTAATTTAGGTATATGAAATAGTTCATAATAATGTTAATATTTGTTTTCAAACTTTTGTCCGCTACTGTATGTGTATTCTACCTTTTGTTGTGAGAATTAGACTCCAAGGGGTTGTAATAAAGGGTAAGAGCTACTATGGGGAACTATTATTTTTAAAGCTAGATATGCAGGTACAGATCTCATATACTTGGTTCTTTGAGTGTAAATGAGTACTTACAAAGAAATTTGGTAAATTCCACCCCTAAGGGGGTAAAGTAGGAACTCACACTTTTCAGGTTTTTGTAGAGAATTTAGGATATTTCAAATGAATCCAGCGTAACAGTAGCAGTTTGTTTTGTCTTCAGTTTTATCTCTATGTAATTATTATTAACAAAGAGTTTCAGGAATCATATCATCAATATGGGGTAGGAGGAGGTTGAATATTTCTATGGAGGACAGGACGTGTCATTTGAGAACTGATTAAGCTTCAGATTTTACATACCTGAAACTGAGCTATGAACATTACATTTGGTAGAGACGTAGTTCAGGGAGAGGGAATTTCAACATTTAGTTAAATTTAAAATGCTAATTTCAACAAAATCTCAAGGGTTCTGGATGAAAAACTCTCAAAAGTCCCTTGAATTGTTGTTAATATTCGCACTTTTAATATTGTTGTTCTCGAAAATAGTATTCTAAACACAGATCAAATAACTTTGTTTACTATAAGATTTGTAAACATTGACTGTTGAAGATTTAATTTTTTAATGTCAGCTTTCCGGTCCGAGTTTTTACCCCCGCAGCTTATAGACGCGATATAAAATAATCAAATTTGACTGTCAATTTCTTAATGCAATGCAAAAATACTGTTATATGTTGGTAACAGTTTAATGCGTACGAAGTCGCTAGTAACTGATATAACAGTGGCCTATGCCTATTTTCAGGTATTTTCAACGTATTCATAAAGCCAACAGTAGGAGAGTTGGTTCGACCAATAAAAATGCCGAAAGCATTATTTCTGGAAAAGCAGTCAAGGCTGAAAGGTATGCATGAACATTCCGTGGTGTTGCCTCAATGTGTTGACAACATCGTTCAAAGAGTTGCTGAGACGACAAATCTGGGCCCTTGCGATGATTCCGATCCTGATGTTTATAGGTATTTATTCTATACCAGTTTTGTAAAAAAATATTCATATGATCTCCACATGCTAGTATGATATCCATGGCGTTCACAATGAGATTTTTTATTTTAAACCACATTAATAATAATAATAATGAGGTCTTTATTAGGGCGGAGTTTGGCTATTCTTCCACTTAACCCTTTTAAAACAGTAAAATTTACAGTTTTCCTGTACAATGTGTCTGGTGGTAACTTTCATTGTAACAATTAAAATAAAAGGCAAGTAATGGCAAGCACACAGTTAAGACTTTTTAAAAGGCAGTTGTTTTTCGCACAAACTGGATAAAACGAGGAATATTCATAATATACTCAGTGATAATAGAAGTGTTACATCCAGAAAAAATAATTTCACAGCTTGATTTTTTGGCAATGAGACGGTCTTATATCAAGAATGAAACGATAACATTCTCACGATATTTTATTGACAAGTAATAAGAAAAAAATTAATGTGTTGAGCGACCCCTCAGCCGACTACACTCCTGTATACGTCTAGGCATCGACAAAATGAAATGATCGATGCCTGGTTGTGGCACCTCATATCAAGCAACTCGAACTTCGTGGATTAACATGTGACAGCGTCTGTGGTGGATGGTGCAGAGTGGATATTATCCTTCCATCATATCCCACACATGTTCGATGGGATTTAAATCCGCTGAACGGCAATACATTAATGCCTGCTTCTTGAAGAAAGTCCGAAGTACGACGATCAATATGGGAACGTGCGTTGTTTTGCTGGAAAAGGACGTGAGGGCGACCCTCTAGATACGGCAGTAAAGCGATTTGTAGGACATCGTCAGCAGCACCAGCAGTCATATTGCCTTGAACAACGAGAAGAGGTGATCCGCCACCATAGGCAATAGCCCCCCAAATCATTAATCCAACAGTCCTGTGTACAGGCCTCTCAACAGCAAATCCAATATCTTGCCTCTCAATGTTGCCATTCTCAGCTCCAGTTTAAACGTTGACGACAGTAGTCCGCAGTCAGAGGAAGCACCAACCGTCGACCTTGTGAAAGAAGTCCAAATGCTCGAATGCGGCGATAGAGTGTACGCATAGTAACAGGCACAAAACACATAAGACTGAAGAAGTGGGAGCTGCACGTTAAACAACGGCAACACCGTTGAAGTTTTTTCAGATGGTTGCGCCGCCTACTTGCCTTGAGATCTGGAGGAACTATCGAAGGAATTCAAAGAATGCGCCGGGAGATTAGGAATGTGCCGAGGATTTAGTCTGTTTACAATTTAAAATCTGCTGAAAGTGATATTTCCCATATTGAAGAAATATTTTATGAGCATAGACGCATAAAATATCCTCAATAAAGGAAATACATGATTCAGCAGTTTTGCTGGTAACCAATTTTGGGATAATAAAAAATAAATGCGTAATTAATAGAATATTTATTAAATAGTTAAATATATGGATAATAATAAGTAATAATTTATCATCACAGTTCATTGACAATATACAGGTATATAAATAAATAAAAATATAAAGGTATTTTTAGACATCCGGAGCTTTCTCTATATTATTAAGTAAATAGGTGATGTTTCAAAAAAAAAATACAAATCATACATTAGTAGCATAAAAACGATAAAAAGGTGTTAAGCAAGCACTACCTATTGTTGATTCATAATGAGATATATTTATCACTGAAACGTAAACATTCATACTAAAATAACAAAAAATAAATCTCTGTAGTTAAATAAATAACTGAAATAAAAATATAATATGATAAAAATTTTCTTCAAAGAAGGAATCAAAGTTAAAAATAAACAAGACATTCCTCATGCTTAAAACCAAAAGCTCCTGATGGCTTTAACATTACAGGGAGTAACAAAATAAATAATTATTCTTCGTCCAACTGCTCCCTCCCAAGGATGCTGCAACTATGAAACAAAAAAAATATTATTTAGGTATAATATCAAAGTAGTATTTGGTTACTGAAAGTAAACAGAAAATTCAATGAATGAAGAGTGCTGGACTACATAAAAAATCATTACCTGACTTTAGCTGTCTTGAATTTCTTATTTGTTGATATATGACTATTGGTAGTCTCACCACTTTTCAAAGAATTTCTCTTTACATATTTATAAATTCCCAACCGAGCAGTTTTTTCAATTACACCTTTTGCCACATCATGCTGCTGACAAAAGCTGTAATTTTGAAGGATGCAGGAATACTGTCATTTAAATTTAACTTCCAGTTGGTCTTCTGTACCATGCTGCTCAAAAAATGCATACAGCTTTTCATCCAGTAGACCAATCAGGTTAATTAAATCTTCACTTGCATACTTCAATCGCTTTTCCTCATTATGTTCTTTAAACGTCACAAACAGATGTTTTTCAGTGACAACCAAGGAAAATAACCTTGCACAGGATTAACAATTACTATCAATTTTGAGTCTGTCCAAGATGTACCCAGCCACATAACGATTTGAAGAATTCCATTCAACAAAACTGTCCATTATTTCCAGAGTCAGAGTTACTTAGAATCTCAGGGTCTAAATCAAGCGCTGTATCATTACTTTGGTCATGTTTATCCAAAAAGTCACTGAAATCGACCAAAGTATCACAAAAATCGATTTCACAATTACCTTTAGAAACAGGTGTGCTGAAATTGTTAATAACAACTATTTTTGAGGCAGCAACAACTGATGACAGGTGGGATTTGTATTGAAGATACCATGCTGTCTTTCTTGACCAAATAAATTTTCCAGGGAATCTTGATTTAAATTTCTCAAAGATATTTCAAGCCCTTCTCCTTAAGATATCTCCATAGTGACATAACAGATCTAATTGTTATTTGCCAGCATTCAACAAATTTGAAATAGTTTGATTTGTCAACCCTAGCGACAATGAAATTGATTTTAATTTGGAAAGCGTTGAGCAAACATTCCGGTTTAATTTATACATAATTGATTCCTTAGGGCTCAGTTCCTTCTTTGATGTACCAGATTTTGTTAATATGCCAGAACCCTTCTCTAGCAAAAAAGAATTTTTATCTAAATAATTAGATTCTGCTCAAGAACCACTTCCACTGATTTCAATGTTTTGATCTTCCAGACTAACACTGGAATTTTCATTTTGCTCAGAAGGGGTTGGATTTGTGGTAGCCTCTGCAGGAGGGTCATTGAACAAAACTCTAGATACTGAACTAGGACCTGGTTTAGTAGGATGACTATTTTTTGAAATTAAAACTGTATTGTGGGACACTGGTATGGTCAGATATCTGAGACATGAAGGTCCTTGCGGATTATTACGATCAAACATTGACAAATGATCCTCACAAACATAATAATTGGAAACTTTACGAGTTTGAGATATCTTACAAGCTGCCTTCCATGCAGCAACAGTTTTTTCATCTTTTGGAAAACGATGGAATACTTTATTTTTGTATATACAAGCAGATTTCCGAACAATGTGGAAACAGGAACTTTTGCAAGAAGGATATTTGCATGAGTACCTTAAAGTAGAGATGTACGAAGACGCAACTCCAAATCCAGACATGACTGATTTACAAAAGAAAAACAAGCTTATTGAAGTATGCAATCTTAAGTATTCCTGCACACAATCACAAGTGTTTTACATTGAAAAATATATGACAAAGGTTATTATTACTATTATTATATGAAGATTATGAACGATAATTTCTCGATTGGGAATTAAATCAGTAATTAAAATTTTAATGTATAGCTTACCCGATTCAAAACACAGATTGAAAACAAAATGGAAGTTCCCACGGAAAGTCAAACTGTCGTATGTCAAAAATCAAACTTTGTTCGTAACAAAGTGTCCTAGATTTTGCCTGGAGATTTATGTGTTTTGTGCCTGGAGAGAATGACCTTGGTGTTGCCTGTTCGCCCATAAGACGTTTCACACCCCTGGTAACAGGTCTTATTTCTTCTCCAAACCATTGGTCAGCGATCTGACGCTTAGTAGCAAAACGGTCTCGTATGGCTAGTTGTCTGAAGCGCCTGTCTTGATGCTCTGTAGTATGCCTCGGCGGGCCAGTTGGCCTTCTTCGTGTTGCTCTACCTTTTTTTATCCACACACGACAGACGCATTACCGTCATTGCAGTACAATTAATACGGCGGCCAATTTCGCGGTAGGACAAACCAACATCTCGATAGGCAATAATTCTACCCCTGTCGAAGTTGCTAACATGGTAATAATTTGGACGTTTTCGAAATCGAGGTATTTTGTTATGCTTACCACTAGTAAATGGAAGGCCAATAACAAAAAATATATGTTCTACTTAGCTCTCAGGAACTGCTTTCTTCACGAAGACTAAGAGATAAAATTTTAACAGAGGTAAACAAAAACAAAGATAAAACGTTGACATTGTTGCCACAGCATGCTTTATTTTGCCAAAAAAACAAGTTGAAGAAATTTTCTGGGTGTAAAACTTCTAATGTCACTGAGTATAAAAGACTCTGATATAAAATACATACATAAATGAGCCACTAACAAGGAGAAAATATAGATGTAAACAATAAGAATGCGCCACAAAAGAGTATTAATTTATGCCAGCATTTTCATGGCTCAGTATACATCTTAACTTATAGTTTAAATTTATTAATTGACAGTGACTATCCATCAGAGAGTTATACAACTTAACGGTATTGTATGTGAAAATATTTCCAAAGAAAGCAGTCTTGTGGTACGGCATGTTATTATATGTTATATTTCGGGAATGTATATACCTGCGCGCAATCAGTTTCTCGCTCAAAAATAAGGGACCCATTTCTATATAAAAGTTTGTGAGTATAGGTGAGCATGTTCAAAGCATATAATTGTCTCATTTTCAGTCATCCTAGTTCTGAGAAAGCAGCACTGATATGGTCTGACTTTCTGAGATTCTGAGTCAGCAGGTCTTTTGGATTTTTTTTAGCTTTTTTACGTTTTCACAGTTCAAGAAAGGAAAATATACTAAAAGGCAGTATGTGAGCTGAGATATCACCAAAGACACAATATTCCCTTGACGTCAAAATCAAGTAGCTGTTTACTTGTATACAACAATCTGAGAATTGCATAGCAACTTTTGCTTAGATTATTTACATGGTGAATGAGTTTCAGTGTCTCATCAAAAATTACTAAATTTCTTTCTGATTCCAATTAATTGGTATTTATTTCAAATTTTCTTTCAATTTATGCGTTATTTTTTAGATACACCAGAATTTATAGGGCTTTCACAGTTTTCTGAACGTCCACCCTTTGACATTGATTGAACCTTTTGACTGTGTTTTAATAACTACATAATTGGAAATAAAGTATATTTTCCTAACTATAATTTAGAATTGAAGGAAAAATCTTTGTATATTAACACGCTTATCAAAATGAAAATCGAAACTGGCTGCATACATCATGCATCCATTGTAAACCACCATTCTAGATTGACAGCTATGCTGTCCATGATTTCTCAAACTACTCGTGAAATTGTGGAAAAATTAGCAACCTGTAATGAGCGATTCTTTTCTTTTTTTTTTGTTTACTCACAAAATATTCTTTAAATGCAGGTTTGCTGGACATACCATGGCGTCTTCGAATTTGACACTGGTGACAGTTTTCAAGAGTGAGAAGATCACGCTGACTGTGAACTGTGAGAATGTTATTTTTGTTTCTGTTATGCTCAATGAACTGATAAGTAATTTGAGTTCATAGAATCAGTTTATTCATTTTGTTAGCAGAAATATCCGTTTCTTCTTGGTTTTTGGCTGTCTTCATGTTGAAAAATATTCGCTTGTATTTTTCCTATTATCATTACATAACGTGTCGTACTTTATATACATATATTAATAAAGCAATTAATTATTGTTATAATTGGCATTTTATCTTTCCACAACGCCTTTTATTTAATTGTTCAATCATAGAAAAAAGTTTCTTTAGAGGAATAAAAGACGGTGTCAAGTAAGTTGACTTTGTACTTCCCACGAAACTCTGTCATCACTTCGTAAAGAATTCTGGGAGCAAAGATCAATATACTCAATTTTTGAGGATTGGGTTGTAGATTATATCGTCTAGTGTAGGTATCTATGGATTTTAAATCTTCATAGAGCTCCTTTTTGGAAGCAACGCTTCACAGATCTATCTAGGTCGGAAACACAAGAGAAACAGGAGTGGCTCAAGTATAGACCCCTGAGGTAGGTACACCCCTGCTTACGTTCACCTGGCACTGATTGAACAGCCACCGAGTGCGAGTTAGTAAATAATTGGACATCATTTTGAATACACTTACACAAATCCCATAAAAAGGGCTGTTAACAACAGGGAATGGTTGATCAAATTGAAAGCTCTAACGGTATTTGACCGCTTCTAAAACAAGATTCTTTTAAAGGTAAAATGTCATTTTCAATCGAATGTTTTATTAGCTGCCTATACATTATCTTTGCAAAAATGTTGATGGTAGGGATAGAATGTTGATTGGATGCAAATTACTGATTAACTGCGGGTCGCTATTTTTAGCTAAAGGAGGAAAAATGGACTGTATCCAGGTTTTAGGTAAATTGCCCTTTTTCAAGCAGCAGTAATTGACAATATGTGCGATATAAATGTAGATTTTCGGAAAACACAACTTGGTCATTTTGAGGTTCAATCCATCATTCTCCAGGACATTGGATTTAATAGATCTAAAAGTTGGTATCATGTCTTTATGATCCACAAGTTTGAACAGAAAGAAAAGTTTCTGCGTTCCATATTCTTTGTAACTAATAGACCTCTATAGAGGCGTTTTTTATATGATCCTAGTAACGCAGACTAAAAAAATAGTTTCCGAAGAAATGTAGTATGGCTTGAAAATGGAAAATACTGCTAATTTTTCTTTTGTAGATATAGCCTTTCTCTAGTTGGTGACTTGTTTCTCTATTTCCTTTTTTATATAATCCTGAAATTCATTAGAACTACTTAATGACATTCAGAAGTAAATAAAAAATCGTTCATCATCTTCAAGCAATACAGGAAAAAGCACACCGAACTCTCCTTTTTCATCTCTCTCACAATTAATCGGATGCGCCCAGTATCTTTCTTTCTTATTAGACTCTTGGAAACTCCACAAAAGCAATGCTTCGTCTTCTGAAGACGGACTATCGAAATACATGTTTCACCTACGAGTAATCTTCGTAAAATGGAACACAGTGTTCGTGACTGTCTATTGTTTTTGTTGTAAATATTTTTTTAGCTCAAGCTGAAGCAAAACAAGTTTTTTATCCTTTAGACTTTAGATGATCTAGACTCTAGAGTATCTGTTTTTTGTCTGTGTGATGTGTAGAGCCTTCTGAAATGCAGAGTGGTTCTTTTGGATGTTCAAAAAAACTCAAATAAGGAGCTTTTCCTATCTTCACATAAATGGCACCTTTTTGCCATGGAATACATTAAGCTCCAGTTGAAATAAGTCGTTGAATGACGGAAGGTAAGAAATTTTTGAGGATGACGTATTATATTAAGCATCAGCATGGTGGTCAGTCATTGGATAGATATTTAATATCCCACTGTTCAAGAGCCTTTCAGGTTGATTTATGAATATGTACTGAATCGAGCAAGGTACTGCTACTCCCTGTTCCCCTTGTGGGCTTAGAAATGATCTGCTGAAATCAAAACGCATCGAAGCATTCACTGATATTATTGATAATAAATTTCAGCAAAACTAACTTTATCCCTTTCTGCTCGTACACTATCATCTTACCCGATTTTACAAACAGGAGATGTAAATTCTTAATCCCGATCATAATGGACCAATGAGAAGGCATCTTTCTAGTAATGGAGCTAATGAATATAGTCAATTTTTGGTGAAATATCTCTCAAACGTGTGAAGAAATATACGATTTGTGTAAGAAGAGACCCCAATCCCCATATTAAATCAAGAAATTCTTTATAAATCACCCGGTTTAGCTTCAAAAAGATATTTTTTCACTTGATCCGGAGATCAAAACCTATAACTCGGATCGATAATGACCAATTAGGAAGGATTTTCGTAAAACTTCATCGAAAATTGTCCAGTCGGAGCCTTTAAACCCTGCCCGAATCGTGGATCAAATCTCCAACCAGCACTGGCCGATACGACCGCTCCATTGTCGCTGGAGTATGGAGATTGTGGAACAATCTACATGAGCAGACCTTTCCCAGTTCTATTAACCTTAGGCGGTTTAAAAATAGGATCAACAACATTTGTTTGGGATCCTCATAGTAGCCGAGGTGTCCTAGCATTTAGGCTTCTGCCTGTGCGGCTGCTTCGGCTTCTCATGATATAATGTCTAGATTGATATGACATCAATTACTGAGCACTTTATTGGAAATGACTTGAGAGAGATTATTTTAGGAAAAAATGATGTATATTTTTTTTAAATGCATCAACGTCTCGACTGGCGATTAAAATGTCGCCTAATGTTGTAATTTGTTGATATATGAACCACTGTTTGGCACACACAACCTCTGCGTGTGTTCGTCATTTATGTATTGGCAATCATATTTTAAATAAAGGTATTTGAATATGCATATAATGTATATGTACGTTTCTTCGGGAACCGAAAACTCATCTACATCCACACATCTACGTCTGCACAACTACATCACGTTCACTGAACTCTTAATTTTTATTTGATCACAATGTATTTTCCAAATATTTCCACACTCCGTCTTGACAAAATACCTATTTCCCAGTACTTCATTAACAATGCTGGAGCGCCATACCGGACTGCCAGGTCTATAGACGCACCCTCACATGATCATTTTTCTTTATTTCAGTTGTACGGCTACTTTGAAAAGACTGTTTTGGTTGATTTTGTTTATTCAAAACTACTGTTTTTGTTAATAATATTATCAAATCATATGCAGTACGAATAGTGCACCCAAAAATAATTTAGAAGATTTTTCATTTTTTTTTTATATACCTTAGCAGCCGCGCAGGCAGAAGCATAAATGCCGGGTCACCGCGGCTGATATGAGGATTCTGAAGGTATTTAGTTAATCCGATTTTTCAACTGACTACAGTTAGTAGATTGTTACACAATCTCGAGACCCTTGGCACAAAGGAGCGGTCATATCGGCCAGTTCTGGAGGCACACTGAGCGGCGGCATCATGGAAGAGAGGTCTGAGGAGCGAAGCCCGTTGGTGTGGCGGTAGAAGAGAGCTAGATCGTCGACGGCCAGCCAGTGCAAAAGGGTCCCGAGACGACCTGCTAGAGATGAGAGTCATCGATCAGTCGGACAGCCCTCCTCTGGACAGCATTGAGCATAAATAATGTAGTCGGGGCGACAGCACCCCAAACGTGTGAGCAATGATCGATGCTATGCCTTATCTGGGCCTTGTATAGAGTGAGAAGATCATGCGGAGAAAAGTACTTCTTAGTCCTAAACAAATAGCCCAGCTTTTTACCAGCAGCTGTCGCTGTTGACGAGATGTGTTCGTTCCAGATCAAGTCCTTGGTGATCTGGACTCCGACCAGCCGAACTGGACGGCTCTTTGGCAGAACCGGATGAGCGCTAGGACGCTTTTTGTTCGTCAAGGTACAGTACACTCTGAATTCCTGTATGTAGACGGCTGTCATCAGCGAAGCTGTAGATTGGGTTGATCGTACAGGAAAGGAGGTACAGTGTCGGAGCCAAGACCGATCACTGGGGAACCCCCGTGGTGACGTTGTTGGATGAAGAGGAGAACCCGTCGATTATGACGGATATCTAGCGGCTAGAGAGAAAGTCAGCCACCCATCTGCAAAGCTTTTCTGGGAGGCCATAGGATGGAAGTTTGCATGAGAGAGCAGCGTGCCACAGCTGCTCGAACTCTTTCGTGATATCAAGAGCAACGACACGAGCCTCACCATAAGACTGGAGGAGCTTTACTCCACAATTGCATGACGTAAGCTCGGATGTCCCCTGCGGATCGCTGCCTGTCGTTAATCAAGCCGTGACGTTCGAGTTAGTCGAGAAGCTCGCGAGTTATGATCCTCTCCATCACCTTACTTATAACAGAAAGCAGAGCTATAGGTTTGTAGTTATAAGTATCGGTCTTAGATCCTTTTTTGGGATGGGTTGGACATAAGATATCTGGAAGAGACTCGAAAGAACCTGAGCAAGCTCCGCTGCACATCTCTTCAATACAATGGCAGGAATCAAGTCCGGACCAGAAGCTTTGTTGATGTTGAGCGACAAGAGCACCCGTCTTATGGTCTTATGCCTGAATGTTACTTTCCGCATAGTGTAGGGAACCCTTTGAATCGAAGGCACTTGGGCGTTGGGGGGACGTCCATGATGGAGTTGGCAGCAAAGATTTCGGCAAGCACTTCCGCCTTGGCCTGTGAGTCAGTTACAATCGTTCCATCCTGACAGGTAAGTGGTGGAAGACTACTGTGTGAGTAGTTCATTTCAATCTGCTTGAGGGATGTATTCCTCCATCCCGATGTGGATATTTTCGGTTATCGAAGAACAGATAGCCGACGCATCCGCGTCAGCGAAACAAACATCTCTCCAAGAAAAGGTGGAGAAGAAGTCTCTGAGCCCCTCTCAGTCGGCATATCCGTAATGCCAAATTCTGCGGATTGGGCGAGTTTGTGCTGCCACAGTGGGTTCTGACCGAAACCTAACCTCCACATCACCGTGGTCTAAGTTACCTAGGGGGGACAGGACAGCAGTGCTGTAAGGGACAGGATGCGTGGTCAAAAAGGGATCCAGCAGGCCTGGTATGTGACGAGACGCAGGGGAAACAGTAGGGCTCATCACCAGCTGGGTCAGCCCTTGAGCTCATTATGGGCATTGAAATCACCAAGGAGAACTACCTCTGAAGCGGGGTGATTGATGTTCTGGAAGTCGATCTTGACGGCGAGGTATTCAAGTAGGTCATTCCAGTTATGGTTCGAGGGAGAGCGATAAAGGCAGCAAATAAATTTGGGAGAGTTGAGGCGAAGCAAGTAACGATGAACAGCATCAATGTTGCTGTTAATCCCGCAGATGTTCGTGAAACAAATTGTATCTTCGATGTTGCTCCCTCGAGTCCACCCTTCACCCGGACATTCCGAGAGTAGAGTGAGCTTACGTCTGGAATTCTTAGTACTTGAGGGATCCATCATCATTAATTTCTTTGTTGGGGAAGATAACCGACTGCGTAGCTTAGGCGTGGAAACATGCAGACATTTACAAGACACCCTGGGAAAAGCTAGCGGGTAGTTTCGCCTCGGTCGACTGGTCCTTGTCTACCACCTTCCTTTTGCGTGTCAATGATGTTAAATAGACCTGAAGTGGCCCGTTGGCGGACTTGTACCGCCACCCGGCAATCGGTACTGAGGTATTCCTTAACGTGTGTACAGTCACTTGAACGGGAAGAAATTGTATACTGAATATAACAACTTCCGGAACAAGCATTTGGCACGGCCCCTCTCAGTAGGGGTTATATGAGGGGTATTCCTATAATGAAATAAAAATTTATTATCAAATGAATATCCGTTCATTTATCGTCATGAATCCCCTCTGGCAAGGCTTTTTTCATCATTTTCACAGCACTTTCATAATCCGTTGATTTCCGTATGGTATGGTATCCTGATGAATCTGTTACACTACTAAGTGTTAACATTTTTTAGAACTCTTCTCAGGTCAAGGACCTTGCATTATGTGTACATGGAACTATTTCATTACTGGAAATATACTCGGATATTTGGAACTTTATTTTCCGTTCAAAAAGCTTTGAAAATGCGGGAAGTAAGCTGACTGGTCGCGTTACAGATGTGGGAATAAGAACCTTAAGAATAGGTATGACGATAGCCTGTTTCCACGCATCTGAGAAACAGTATGTTCCTAAACAGCACAAAGATATACTCATTTAGGACGTCCGATCTTGACTTTCGAGACACCTTGCAGACGTCTGCTAAAGTTCAACAGACGTCTGTTAGAGGTTGTTACTAATCAGAACGTCTTTAATACGTCTTGTTTTGGTCTATTGTAGTTCTTAAACATAACATGGACGTCTCGAATGTGTCTTAGAAACGTCTTCTAGTCGACATACAGACGTTTCTTTGGCGCCATAGGAACGCCTTATAGGCGTTCACTATAATCCTTCGCAGACTTTTACAAAGGCAGAATCTAATGAAAAAGCAAAATCACTGCAAAGGGTTTTATTTTATATATGTCATGATATACAGTGTGTCGAAGATTGGAATTTCGAAAATTATTTTGGAGCTACAATGTATGTTGAATGAAAAAACATTATGCAATTCCACCGTCATCAACATAATTTTTACAGAACTTTGCAGTTTCATTTTTGAGTATTTGGAAGAAAAATTTTTGATTTAATTTTTGAGTGGCTTTTAAATGATACCAAAACGCTTTTCTATTGTCACTTTTTACGCTTAATAACACGTATAATTAACACAAAGTCTTTGCTGGATTAGTGTCACAAAAGTAATTTCCATTAACATAATTAAAACTGTATCAAAACTCAAAGGATATATTGAAAACCAACATGAACTCTTGCTTCCCACATCCGTTTAGCTGGTCTACTTTCCATCATGCGGTTCAGGTGTCCAAACCATCTCAATTGTTGTACTTCAACTCTATGCAAGATTGGTTCTACTCCCAGTTCTGCCCTCACTATATCATTTCTGATTTTGTCTCGTCTAGTTATTCCTTTGACTTTCCTTAAAAATTTCATATCTACTGCCTGCATCTTGCTCTTTAATCTGTTTGTTAGCACCCAACCTTCCCTACCATAAATTAATATTGGCCTAAATAAGGTCTTGTAAACAATCATCTTGGATTTCCTACTAGTTTTCCTACTGCTTTAGTAATTCTTTCATTTAGTTTAGCTTCCATACTGCCTTCACGCTGTATCATAATTCCAAGATATTTATAGACATTTACCTGTTCCAGTTCATTGTTATTAATTTTGATTTTTATTTCCTTGACATTTTTTCCGATCACCATTTCTTCAGATTTGGCTACATTAATTTTCAGATTTCTTATTTCTAATTCGGCGTTCCAAAGTTCTAGATTGGTTTGCAGGTCTTTTTCCCGTTCGGCACAGATCATGAGATCATGGGCAAATGCACATTCTGACGGGCTAACCATTCCCAGTTTGTAATGACCAATTTTCACTTTTTAGTTTGTATTTTATTGCTTTTATGATGTTGGCTACGATAATTATAAAAAGTGTAGGACTTAAAACGCCCCCTTGTCGTAAGCCGTCTCGTATTTTAAAAGTTTTTGATACCATGTTTTCCTTTCTTACATAATTGGTGTTATCCGCATAAAGTGTTTTAATTCCTCTTATTAGTTTAGGGCATATATTTTTTTCCAAACTGTCCCACACTACCTTCAGTGGTATCCTGTCAAATGCCTTTTCCAGATCTAGAAAGGCCATGTATGCTTCGGTGTTCTTCGTTCTAGCCTTTTCGATCATTTGGTTAATCGTGAATACATAATCCTGTGCGCTTCTACCTTTCCTAAATCTGCACTGTGCTTCCTCCAAATCTGGTTCCACTGTACTTCTTAGTCTTTTCTCTAGGATTCTTTATAGGCCTTGGCTGCGATACTAAGCAACGTGATTCCTCTATAGTTTCCACACTCTCTATAATCTCCTCTCTTATGTACCGGTAACACAATTCCCGTCCTCCAATCTTTCGGCGCCCTACCCTCAATCCATACTCGATTGAATATCGTTGTCAAGCATTGGATTCCGAAATTGCCTAATCCCTTCAGCATTTCTGCTGTTATCATGTCGTAGCGAGCTGATGTTCCTTTATTGCTGTTTTTGATAGCTTCATTTACTTCTTCAATGCTTATTTCGTCTGCGGTGTCATCAAATATTACATCTTCAGTATCTTCTGTACCAACATCATACTTGCTATTTAGCAGATTAGTGAAATATTCTTTCCATAATTTGGGTATCTTCTGTAACTATCCTATTATTACTTGTTTTGGCTTGTTTTAAACTATGCTGCTTATCGCTTTTCAGGCTTTTCAAGGCTTTGTAGAATAGTTTTTGATTTCCGTGTCTGTCTTCCTCCATTTTTCTCCCAAATTCTTCCCATGACTTATTTTTGGGTTGCACTATGATTTCCTTTGTTCTTTGTGTTTTATACTTTTCATAACTTTCTTCAGTCATTTTCGTTAAATAATTAGGCCATTTTTTCTTTTATCTTTAATTGCGATTTTTATATCCTCGTTCCACCATCTTGTTTGTTTTTTATTTCGGTTAACTATGGTAGCTCCGCATATACTTCTAGCCGCATTTAGACATATCTTTTTAAACGTTTGCCAAGTTTCTTCAACGCCTATATTTTTCTGTGATAGTTCGGCCATTTGTTTCTCAGTTACCTCTCGATAGGCCTCTGCGATGTTCTTTCTAGTAATCTGTAGGATTTAATAACTTCCCTTGATTTAGTGTGCTTCTGCATTGATTGGTGCCTTTTTTGTGTGCTTGTTTTAATCCTAATCTTTGAAGACAGTAGATAATGGTCGCTGAAGATCTCGGGTCTTCTTTTGACCTTTACATCTAAAATTTCCTTCCTATATTGTCTGTTAACAAGTACATAATCGACGATTGATTTTTTATTTCTGCTCTTTACCTCTCGAGTGTACATGTGAATGTCTTTATGTTTGTAGAAAGTATTTGTTATAATCAAGTTGTTCTCCATACAGAAATTTGAATTTCTTCTAAAAGCTTATCTCCAATATACCGCAACTTTTAGGATACACACTTCTCAATTAAGGCAGCAGCGATGACCTCAGTAGTAGACTCTTCGGTCTCCTAATCAGTCGCCGTGCGCTGTGCGGGTTCGAATCCCGTCCCAGGAGAACTTTTTTTCTTGGCTATGGATATTATGATTGTCCGTAGGTGGTAGACGGTCTCTGACTGTCGAACGCGGAGGTACCACCCGGCGGATCTCGTAGGCGGGGCCAGAATGTGTGCATGTTGCATGCAAACGTGTTCCCTCGCCAGAGTCCGTGCGGCGTTCCCCCTTTCCCCTGTATCCCCTTATTGCCCCACGGTACCCCATGGGTGTTTAGGCCTTAGGCCTTCGTGGTAGTTGGAGTATAAAAAAAAGATGATCGAACATTGTGCACTGTTCCACTTTGGTGTTTGAATAAATCCAGTGGTTTGGTGTAATACCTAGAATTTTTTCATATACCAATTTGTTTCAAATTATACAGGGTGTTCGAAAAATAGACGGAGATATTTTAGAGGGTGATTCCTTGTTGAAGAATATGAATATGGATCCGGAAATGCAGGGTGATAAATTCCAAACAATATTTTCTTATTAATATCCTGAAAAATATTTACTCGATTCTGTTGAATTTTGGCAATATTATTTAGAGGCTAATTTATACCTAAGTAGATTAAAATTACTAGGTCCAGTTGCGTCCTGGGGGGCACCTTAGCGAATATTATTGGCAAAAAAGTGTACGCTACTGCCTTTTTTGTAACTTTAAGATTTATTGTTTGAGTAAGCATCTAAGAATGCAACTTCTTTGCCTCTTGTATTTTTTTCGTATCTCACTTCGTTTTCGAGAAAAAAAATAAACCGTTTTATTGCATGTCACTGGACAAAATTGTTTTATTAATTTTTGCTATAAAAATCGCAAGCGCCTTGGAAAACAAAACATCATTTCTGCATGAAGGTTAGACATTTGCGCGTGAGTTGTTCTTTCTAGAAGAGAGATAATTATTCGCGTAATTTTTTTTAAATGTATCACCCTGCATCTTGAAAACTCTGCATATCCGGACCCATGTTTATAGAAACTTTTTTTCATATTTTTTAACAAGGAATCACCCTGTAAAATATCTCCGTCTATTCATTTAAACACCCTGTATAATAAGGAGTGTGTATTGCAAAAGTTGCAGTAGCTTTGAGATAAAACATGGTAATAAGAATCCAACTGACAATAGATACAAAATTATTTATCTGAAATAACAGATATTGACAAAGGGTGTTTATTGCTGGTTACTGTCAATGAGTAAAATGCGAGGCACATTATGTTGTTTTGCATCTTTCGAGTTTGATACAGTTTAAATTATGTCACCAAAAATTATTAATTTTTGCACACTTAGGAAAAAATATAACTTTCTGCTCCAAATTCCAAGTAACTGTAAAATATTCTAGAGATATTACGATAAGCTTTGCCAAATTTGTGTCCTGAGATGGTCTTTTGCTATGGCGTGATTGATAATGTAATGTGGTCTAAAAGTAATGTGAAAATGTATTTTATCATAATGAGTGAAATTCCATTAACCCCGACAGCATTAGTTTTAATGAATGGCGTGTCTTAAGAAATAGGAAACCTCCTTATTTATAAGCGTTCTATTCGTGTCGTGGGCGAGGCGATTGTTGGCCTTTTATCTTTTCTTCGGTTCATCATCTGTTGCGGCTGCGGCGACACAGCGCGGCGGAGGCCCATTCGGCATTGGGCCAGCAGATGCTTGCACTGCCCTGGTTCTGGTTGGTCCGACGACAGATAGTGGGAGAACCCAACACATGGTGCACTTTTTAAATTTCGTTTGTGCCCCATCAGTTCGCCCTCTCTCATTCATTCATATCATGTTTCGCTCATAGATTCACGCATGTTCTTCATTTTAACAAGTGTTTGTGATTAACGTTGCCGTATTCTTTATTTCGTTCAAATATTTACCGTTTCGATATCATTTTTTGATATGGCCGAGAATAATCTGCAAAATGATCAAAACATAGAATTCCACCTAGTGACGATGTTTGAAAAGTTGGAAACTCTGCGCAGTGAAACAATAACCGCACTGAAAACGAGAAGTCCGATTCAATTGGAAATTCGAAGCTTAGATTTTTGGCGCGCCGTGATATCGGAGTGCTTGGCAAGTTTTGTTTACGTGTTCATAGTATGTGGTGCAGCTGTTGGGTCAGCGGCAGCAGCAGCATCTGCAGTAACACCTGCATCAGCACCTCCACCATCCGTAGTCTTATTAGCCACTTCTTTAGCTGCTGGATTTACAATGACATCTCTAACACAGTGCTTTGGACATATATCGGGTGGGTATCATATAAACATCTCTACACGGCGTAATTTAATTGATGACTAAAACTACAGGATATTATTCCTTAGCTCATTTTAGGAAGAAAAGTTTATATGAACATATGTCCTAAACCTATTAACTTTTGAGATACATAACTTTTAATACTGTTACTAGATGTTTGACATGCACCTATAGGCATTTTTTTGATGTAGAATATTTTTTAATATTTCTACCAGTAGCGTCCGTATACTGGAGATTTAAAAAATATATATATTTCTGAAAGTCACTGCTATTTAGCAGTACATTTCACCTCTTGACTTTTTTCCGTCCAATGCACCGTTTTCGCGTAAAAAAATAAAAACCATCTTCAAGCATTTGTGGTATAAAATTATTTTGAACTATCTAGTAGGCCCTATTTTGTTTGTAAAATAATGACATTTGGTCGATTACGTTGCGAGCTTATTTTGACAAGTATTCATAAACGTGATAGCTTTTTACATTGTGAAAGTTTATTTAATCAATAATGAAGAGAAAATTCTTAAACTATGCCGAGAATCGAGGAACATCCAAAAACACGTACCTACTAAGAAAATTGCGGTAATGTTTAATGTTTCCCATTTTCGTATTTGGAAAATACTTGATACTTTACTATACCCCCATCATATTCAAATGGCTCAAGCACTACTGCCGCGTGATTTTCCATTGCGTTGAAGTTTCTACCGATGGTTCTTAGAAAAACTTACTTTGATGTCAAAATAGTCTACTTTTTCCCGCAATTCCGTTCGAAATGTTCCTAATTAACATGTATGGGCCGAAGAAAATCCATATGCAATTACGGAGGCACATCAGGAGCAGTTTTCCGTAAGTGTGTGGGCTGGAATAGTTGGAGATATCCTCATAGGACCGTTCTTCCAGGATTGGACTATCGTATCGTCACTTTCTTGAAATCGATTTCTTAATTTTGCTCGATGATGTACCCTCTTTTATTAAGAGAAGAAATGTGATACATGCATGATGGTGCTTAGCATTCATGCTAGGGAATTTTTAAATGAAGCGTTTACGAATCGCTGGATAGGACGTGGAG